GTAATGTAAAAGTACAAGTAAAAATCCATTTTCGTGCCTTTAGGCGCATCAGGAAAATAGGAAGAGCCTTCCAGTTTTTACAGACTATCGGCACTAGGTGGGTAATGTGGTCAGCATTACACCGGCCGCCTTTACTTCCCTATGACAGCCATCCTGATACCGATTTTAGGCTGGGTCGACAGGCGACGCCCCATACCATGATAAAAATCCACGCAGATATTATATATATATATATATATATATATATATATATATATATATATATATATATATATATATCATCATCATCAGGTGCCCTGCCGACTGGCGTGGGCGATCATGCCTCTCCAAAATCCGCGATCTCCTGCAGCATGTATCAGTTCGTGTGCCGACACACCTCCATGCCATGCAACAAGACTGTCAAGCATCTTCTCTCGTTGTCTTCCTCTATCCCTCCTTCCACAGATCTTTCCAGTGGTCACAACATGTTCTATTTTCCCTCTTCTCATAACATGGCCGAAAAATGATGACTGTCTCCCTCTGATGTCAGTGATAAGTTGTCTTCGGTCTCCCGCCTCTTTCAAAACCTCTTGGTTGCTCTTTTTGGCTGTCCAAGGTATTCTAAGCATTCTTCTGTAAAACCACCTCTGAGGCCTCTAAAAATTGTTTGGCCTGCCTACCGATTGTCCAGGATTCACATCCATATGTTAAAACTGGATGTATGTAGCAAGCAAGAATTCTTTTTCTAACTCTCAATGACAAGGATATATTGCACAAGATGTTTTTCATTTTATAAAATGCAGTTTTTGCCTGTCCAATTCTGTTTCTTATTTCAGTTATGCATCTTCCATCTGATGTTATCCATGTGCCCAGATACTTAAATTTCTGTACTTGTCTTAAAATAACACCATTGACTTTTATTACACATTTAGGAATAATTTGTTTCTTTGATACCACCATTACTTCTGTCTTCCCATTATTCAAACTGAGGCCCATTCTTCCACTTTCTAACACCACAATGTCTATCATTTCCTGTAATTCTTTCTGAGTTGTTGCTATCAAGACTGTGTCATCAGCATAACGTAAATTGTTTATAGTGTGCCCACCAACCACGATTCCGGGCATATCAATTAAAGATCTCATAATATATTCACTGTATATTGAAAACAAATCAGGTGAAAGTACACATCCTTGTCGTACGCCCCTCTTTATGCTTTGAAATGTACCTAAACAGTTGTTAATTCTTATAGCTGCTGTTTGCTGCCAATACATATTCTTTATTATTCTTAGATCTTTCCCATCAATGTTTAATTTTTCTAACAGTTTGATTACTTCTTCATGCTTCACACAGTCAAATGCTTTTGTATAGTCTATGAAGCATAAGTACAAATCAGTCTTTACTTCTATAGCTCTTTCTGACAATGTCCTTAGGATGTATATGGCATTGTTTGTACCTTTTCCTTCTACAAATCCACATTTGTGGATTTGTAGAATATATATATATATTCACCCACGTTCTATGTGTATGTTTTAATTAGTTATTTTGGTACCCTTTCAAAACAAAGTAAAAAACATTTGGTATTAATTCTAAACAAAATTTGACAGCCCTTTCGTAAACGCTAAGAAAAACAGATAGCAAGACTGATTTATTGTTTGGCTTTAAAAATGAGCAAGTACCTGGCAGCCTTTCCGCTTCGTGTGCTAGCAGACGATTCAGATTTGATGCTGGAAAATTTTAGCTGGAGGAGTAAACTCAAGGTAATGATTGGCACTCCTAGAACTAGATAAATGAAATCACGATTATGAAAGATGTGTACATTTTTAAATATTTTAAATAGATTATGTTGTCAGCGTGTGCCTGGTACGGACAGTTAAAACGCCTTGAGAATATAAAATGTTATAAAATGAAGGTTCATTTTACACGCCTTCTTGGTTTTAGCAACTCTTGCTGAAGAGAGGGGAAGGGGGGAAAGGAGTGGGGGGAGAACTCGTCACTTTCAACCATCATCCTGCTTTAGGCTATAATTGTGACAAGGTTATGTGCACCATATAAAATGGCTTTACATGGCTCGCCACTAACTAGCCCTGAAAAGAACTCCTGCAGTGTTGATGCGATAAAAGTTGCGTATCCTTTACAGGACGTTGCAGAACCAGCAAAAGCCAATTTGTTTTTGTTTTTTGTTTTTTTCCTCTTTTGTGGTTTTTCTAGGTTATTTTACATTCAGTAGATCAAAGGAGGTCGGCTCTGTGGCTAAGTCGATGCGAACGCTTCGTAATGCCGGGAAGCCGTGTTCGATCCCAGCTGCGGATCGAAATTGGTATCAAGAAAGCCCACCGTCCAAAAAGCAATGGCAAACAACTGGACGTAAATTTGCCTGGTTCTGCAACGTCCTGTAAAGAATACGCAACTAACCTAAATCAAAGGAGACAGACCCAAAAAGTGTCCCAGCCAGCGGCGAGGTCTCTACCGGCGAGTTAGTGGCCCATGCTTCACATTTCGGGCCTATATATATATATATATATATATATATATATATATATATATATATATATATATATATATATATATATATATATAGGCTTCCAGGGGGAGAGTTTATTTCTGGCTTGTCGATAGCGTGTCACAATTTTAAGGTATTGTATTAAGCCTGGTTAACCATCAGTTAACCGCCTCATCTCAATGACCACCACCTGTGTTGCTTCGCTGTCGCTTATTTAATATGCTCGCTGTTATCCTCCATACTACAGTCAGTATAAGACAGTCACGACAAGCAAGTACCTACCAACCTCATCTCCATCAAGTGCCTTGCCAGCTTGCGTAGGCGTTCATGCATCTCCACAGATCTCTGTGGATTCCTCCATGCCACTGTCTTAGGCCATCCACTGCCGTCTCTCTTAGTCTTCCTCTGCCTCTTCTACCAGTGATCTTTCCAGCCACCACGATATTCTTCAGGGCTCCTTTTCTCATCATATGACCAAATAACTTTGGCTCCTTCTCATTGTTGTATATATATCTGTCAAGTTATAGACAGATAAAAGGGTAAAAAACTGGAAGAAGTTGAAACCTTTAAATAACTATAACATATTTAACGATGGACTTTGTACAGCTCATGGCTTCTGGACATTTTTTTTTTTTTAATGCAGAAATGAGAGCTGGACTCTCACTTTGGAAGTGGAAACAAGATTCAGGATTTCGAACATAAATGCTATAGATGAATGTTACGAACTAGCTTTTTAGAATATAAAACTAACAAATTTACAACAACAACAACAACAACACAAAATTGCTGGTCATCAGGAGCCTCTTCTGTCAGTAGGGAAACGTCGCAAACCAGCTTGGTTCGGCCACATCTTGAGACATGATTCAATTAATTACAAACTTTACTTGAAGAAACACTGAAAAAAAGAGGGGGAGGGGGGGGGGGGGTAATGAAGAAGAAGGGACCTAAAAAGAACCTGGAATGACAACATCAAGAAATGCACAGGACTCAATTATCATACAAGCAGAAGACAGCGAAAGATGGCAGGTTGTGTGTACTATTGCCTCCACCTACTGACCTCCTTGACCCTAAGCGGTCAAAGGTTATATTGATCGATAATACGTTAATCACAGTTTAATAATGATTGTTTACTATTTAAAAAAAACGTCACTAAAATAGAATAGATTGGAAGACTGAACTATCAGCTATATGTGAAGCATTACAGCCCAGTGGAATGATTATTATATTAAATGTTAAAATCTAATTATTAACATTAGACATAAGAACATTATTAGACCTGCAGTAGGCATAGATATTTTACAATGTAATCAACAATATATTATTCCAATCTGAATTTTCAACACAAGCATAAATAATAATTGGTAAGGACTATTTAATATTTCATCAGCCCTAACACAAAGAAACTAATCAAACGTGGATGTGCTTAATTGCAAATCTGCAGTTTCTTCTTTTTTTTTTTGTTTTTTATATTTTATTAAACAAAACCAGAATTATATTTTCTTTTTTCATCTGGCTTTGTGTTGTGAATATTACAACAGTTTTTCTCTAAAGAAAATAAAAAAATGATATTTTCTCCAAAGTCAACAATAATAATTGATGGTAGCGCTCACAATTTTTTGTAATTAACTAAAGCTTTGTAAAGAAGGCCATGAGATTCGAGAAGGTGATACAAATAATGGTTATCGTAGAAAAAAAAATTGAATGTTTTACATTTTAAAAAAAAGGTTAAAAAGCTGAAACAAACATACAGAAGAAAAGATATTGCTTTTTCCACACACTCCACACCGCCCACGCACCGCACACCTCCACACATCGCTCACAGCACATCATTTAATACAATTATGAATTCTAAGTTTTCTTTAAATCGGGCGTGTTCGACTGAAAAGTTCAAATCGTAGCCTAGCTGTAGACCACAAGAAAACATGACATCTGCCTTTGTTTAAGGGCAAATGCATAAAAGGAACAGCTGCTGGTCGAGTGGTTACAATGTCGCGCTGTCATGGAGGAGACCCAGGTTCGATCCCAGGTAAGTTGATGGAGTTCTTTTCTGTCCAGGGCATAAATAAACATGCTAACCTGCACAGTCCATGGCGACAGCACTAGCCATGCGGGACTAAATCCTCAGGCTCACGACCACCATGTGTATACCACCCAAAAAGTGGTAAGTGCGGTCAGTAGTGACAGTGAGTGGCAGGAGAAGAAGAAGAAGATAATACATAACCACCTGTGGTAGTGCAGTGGCTACATGCTTGCCTGCTGGCTTGAAGGTCTTAAGTTCACTGAGATGGCTTCTGATAATTGACCCGGGCTTCCGGATCAAACCAGCCGAAAATGAAAGAAGGAAATGTTTTAAAATGTCAGAGAGGCTGGCCCAAAAGTCATAAAGCAGCTCGACGGCGGTGAAGCTGGAACATCGACTAAAGACTTTGTGTCTTTCCAAACAATTTATTTGAGTATTTTCATTAAGGGAAATGGTGTCAAACATCTTTTAAATCGACATACATTTCAGATTTCAGTTCAATGGCTAGCTTGCCACCGAATGTTTCTCACGTTGGAGTGGTTATTCTACATAACAAGTTGAAGGACTCTGTGGTTTTCAGGCTATTGACCCAGAAACAGATCAAAATCAGAAGTAAGTCGGTGAAGAAAAATACTCTTTGCATTCAAGAAACACGAGCTGTATAAAAAAATATGTCACTACTGTCTGTTTTACCACCTTTTTATGGCGGTGTGGATGGGTGGGGGGTGGGTGGTGTATTTTTATTGTAAATCCTAACTGGAAGATAATGTGTATGCTTACTCAGTAAAGGTCTCTATTCCACGCCTTTACGCGTATAGGGCATGTAGGGCTAGACCTATTTTTGTATAGACCAGTCGGCACAAGATGGGTGATGTGGTCATCCCCACGCCGGCCGCCTTTACTTCCTGGGACTACAACCGCCACCCACTCAAGGCTGGGTCGACCTGGGAATCAATATCATTTTTGAAAAAAATCCGGCTCCGCAAGAAAGCGAAGTTAGGACCTCTTGATCCGCGCGCGAGCGTCTAGCCGCTAAGCCACGGCGACTCCAACTTATTCAGTATTGCAAGCAATAAAAAACCTTCAGCAACTTCAATTCAATAACTTTGGATTTCTGCGGAATCGAATGTGTCAGCTGACCAGATATACTGTTTTCCAGCTGATCACAGACCACTGTGACAGTACCAGAATTTGAGGTTTTGAACAACGGATCAACATCATGGCACACGGGTAGTAACCCATAAGTGCTCCGATCTTCCTCTTAACTCAAGTCTGAGTCCAGAATAACTCAGCACAGTGCACAGGCTCTGTAGCACTAGCGAGGTTCTTGAAAAACTTTAGGTGGATTTTTAACTACAGATTTACTCGGGCAACGCTGTTAGGCTACTCTTCTCGATTTCCACTACCAAGTAATTTTTTTTTTTTTTTTTACGTGCTCATAAATGCACACGGGAGTCCGATCTTACTATCCAGAGACCAGGGGGAATTACTAGAAGTCCAAGTCCACGTGGAAAAAAATCCCATCCCTTACCTAAGATTAAACCCGGAAATTCTAGCACTCGAGACTGACACTTATAGTATTTTGACTGTTACTGATTCGAGCTTTCAAATGCCCCTTTTGACCATTCCGTCACAAACATGACCTGCCCTTTTCTACTCTTACTAAAACATATATGATATTTTTTTAACATTGTTACATGCTCGCAGACAGACAGACAGACAGACAGACAGACAGACAGACAGACAGACAGACAGACAGACAGACAGACAGACAGACAGACAGACAGACAGACAGACAGACAGACAGACAGACAGACAGACAGACAGACAGACAGACAGACAGACAGACAGACAGACAGACAGACAGACAGGCAGGCAGGCAGGCAGACAGGCAGGCAGGCAGGCAGGCAGGCAGGCAGGCAGACGTGCATGCGTGAGTGCGTGCATACATACATACATACATACATACATACATACATACATACATACATACATACATACATACATACATACATACATACATACATACATACATACATACATACATACATACATACATACATACATACATACATACATACATACATACATACATACATACATACATACATACATACATACATACATACATACATACATACATACATACATACATACATACATACATACATACATACATACATACATACATACATACATACATACATACATACATACATACATACATACATACATACATACATACATACATACATACATACATACATACATACATACATACATACATACATACATACATACATACATACATACATACATACATACATACATACATACATACATACATACATACATACATACATACATACATACATACATACATACATACATACATACATACATACATACATACATACATACATACATACATACATACATACATACATACATACATACATACATACATACATACATACATACATACATACATACATACATACATACATACATACATACATACATACATACAACTTGCACACACACACACAATACACGCACATACATGTCTGTGTGTGCGTATATATATATACGCACCGAGAGAGGGGAAGAGAGAGATTTTTAAAACATACCTGTCAACCTACCTACCTACCTATGTAAGTAAACATACATATAAACACTGTCTTCTGTGTGTGTATCTCTCTTTCTCTCTCTCTCTCTCTCTCTCTATATATATATATATATATATATATATATATATATATATATATATATATATAGAGAGAGAGAGAGAGAGAGAGAGAGAGAGAATTTTGAATCAGTCATTTAGATTCCCTATACACGTGCAACCTATATTGGCTACGGAGCCTGACAAATATCCCCACACTTTGACATATTCTAGAGCTGGCAAAGATTTAACCTGTCTGTCACTTGCCACATTGAAGCTGCTAAGAGCATGTTAGAGCTCTGCACCAGGACATTTTGTTTTTTCTGTCTACCCGGCTTCTTCGCAAGGAAATTAGTCAATTTTTTTTAATATAAATTATGAACTAACACGTAAAGAAAAATGTTTTAAGAGTTTGAATTGGGCACTGTCCTTTTATGAATCGTTGGTCTTATCAATTTTAAAAAAAAAAATATGCATATAATTTACTGTTTAAACTGTATAATTTGATTACAATCATGAGGGTCATTGCCGACTGGCGTGGGCGATCATGCCTCTCCACAGTCCGCGATCTCCTTCAGCATGAATTAGTTCGTGTGAAGACACACCTCCATGCCATGCAACAAGACTTTCAAGAATCTTCTCTTGTTGTCTTTCTCTATTCCTCCTTCCACAGATCTTTCCAGTGGTCACAACATGTTCCACTTTCCATCTTCTCATAACATGGCCTATATACACTTGATTCTTATCAATTCTTATATTTTAAAAGTCTAATTATACCAGTTTTTATTACTTGTCTGCTTGCCTTTTCTCCGCATTGTTCACTCGATGCCATTGTTCACTCGCTGCCATTGTTCACTGGCTCCCATTGTTCACTCGCTCCCATTGTTCACTCGCTCCCATTGTTCACTCGCTGCCATTGTTCACTGGCTGTCATTGTTCACTGGCTCCCATTGTTCACTCGCTCCCATTGTTCACTCGCTCCCATTGTTCACTCGCTTCCATTGTTCACTCGCTCCCATTGTTCACTCGCTCCCATTGTTCACTCGCTCCCATTGTTCACTCACTCCCATTGTTCACTCGCTCCCAAAGAAGCTTCACACTTCTAGCTTGTCCACATCTAGCTTGTCGTGTATTCATTCATCACCCAGTGGGGTAACAGCAGCCATACTGTCTGCATGTTTGTTTCTCAACAAACCTGCATGCTGTAGAGAAAAGGTCTCAAGGAAGCTAACTACCAGACCCCTGCAGAAGTAGCGCTTGTCATTCTGCACAGAGCATGCCTTTCTCCACCTTTCTCGGCATGCTGTGTGAGTTGGTTCTCAAGCCGGTGTGACCTCCTTTATTTGGTTAATGTGTGAGAGGAGAAGAGTTACGTGTAATCGTTTGACTGAATTTAGACCTTCAAATACACAGCTGTATTCCTTGAACCTAACCTAATCTACTCACCAGCAAGTGAGCGTTTGCCAGAAGGAGCTGTTATAGTCCCAAAAGGAAAATTGGCCTTTTTGATGGTGGACATTGTGAACCCTGTTCGATCATATCCCAGTTCAGTGGAGACTGGTCATAACAACAGAGGACTTTGTGAAAACAGCTCTGGGATTTCTGAACTCCTGGCTAGGTAAGGTTTTATCTGTTTTCATTGAACTGCTGATGAGCACCGGCCGTCAGGTTGTGCCCTTTCCGACTATCACCACAATCGTGGATCAGGTCAGTGCACTTGTCTCGTCCCATCCATATGGCCAAGCCATCCGGATATTTATCTCTTTGCCTTCTGCTTGCTCTTTGTCCATCAGTCTTGCCAACTGTAACAAAGTTCTTTGGTTCATGTCTTTGCGTAATCTTTCTGGGGAGGGGGGGGGGGGAACACTGACTGTCTGTGTCTGATTTCTCTGAATCAGTTTACAGTTTTTATTTGTGTCACAGTGGTCGTTCTTATGTTACTTAGTCTTTTCTCTTGGGCTTAGGGCGGCGAGTAGAGCAGAGGCCATAGCTCTCTGTAGCTGGCGGTTCGTTGCGACCTCTTGGGCTTAGTGCGGTGCGTAGAGCAGAGGGCATAGTTCTCTGTGGCTGGCGGTTCGTTTCCACATATTGGGCCTAGGGCGGCGCGTAGGACAGAGAGCATAGCTCTCCGTGGCTAGCGGTTCGTTTCAACCTCTTGTAGGTCACGCCCTTTTGAAGCTATTAATAAACAGAGTCTTTTGTAGGTCTTGGATGTTTTTAGCCCCATGGCAGAGCCTTCCCTGATGATGTTTCTACACAGGCTCTCTCTTGGTCTTCTCCTGTTCCTTGGTGATCATATAAAGGCTTGATGTGAGATTCTTGGTTTACTATCACTCACTGAAATACTTTGTGTTCAGCTTGAAAACGACATCTTCGTTGCAACTAAATGTCTGCTGATTGTCGATGTCTCACATGCATACAACAGCAAAGGTTTTATGCAGCACTTGAAAACAATATACGCTGTTGCATCATTATCTTCATCTGATGGCTTGCAGATAACCGAGGCTGTCATGTCTCTCAATGTCCTAGATCAGCGGATTTCAACCTTCCTAATGTCGCGACCCTTTAATACAATTCCTTATGCTGTGACGACCCCTAGCCATACAATTATTTTCCTTGTTAGTTCATTACTTTCATTGCACGTGGTTTCCAATGCTCATCGGCGGCTCCTGTGAAAGGGTCGTTCGACCCATACAAAAAAGGGTCCCGACCCACAGATTGAGAACCGCTGTCCTAGATTATCTAAAGAATGCATTTCTTTCAAAGTGTCAATATGAATAATTTTAGTGATCAATGGGGAAAGCCAGATTTCTCTGCTATGTTCTCACCAAATGGTAAAAGTAAGAGAGCACAATATGCCTTGGGGGGGGGGGGGGGGAGGTAATAGAATTGTAAATCCATTCACACACCGGGCGTTGATTGGGACTAACAGAGGTAAACTCCGGTGGACAATTCTGGTTGTTTACCCACACCTGGACTTTAACGTTGTTATAGAACTGGCATTTTCTTGCATATCTGCATTACGTGTCTGGCTTATGTGTATGCAGACTGCTGGTTCCTTGCATCTCATGCAGATTCATTGATTTTTAAAAAGTCGACTTTTGCGATATGTTTGTTAGGGGAGCGTGTGCCTATTCTTTTGTCCCCAATAACAGGGCCACGGAACCCACATGAGTAAATATCCGCGGCAGTGTATCTCAGGAGCTAGGCATGCTAAACGAAAGAACGAACGAACAAACTTTATGTGTCTCATAGTTATTATCAAAGCAATGTTTCCCCGTTGTAAATTTGAACAAAGAAGATACAAACAATAGACTGCACAATTTATTGCCCGGCATATTTCACTGTATTTCGTCAGGTGCATACTACAGTAACAATTACATTTTTTTTTAAAAAGCAGATAAGTGAATCCTCGATAACTGAAGCACAAATTCAACAACGATCAAACACAAATGCCTGTTTTACCAGGGCAGCAGTAAAGTCAGAACCATATCTTTCTGTGTACAGAGTTCGGGGCGCAAACGCCGGAATGTACTCTGATTATACGTATATATTACTGAACTTTTTAAATAAAGTATGGTAATAAACCTAAACCAGTGAGGAATAGGTGATTTTTGTTCTCTTTGGTAATCATTGTTTCCTCTCTTGTGATTTACACATTGTTCATTTGTTACATAATGATTTTGTTAAAAGTATATCATCTCTTTGTTCTAAAATATTTTAAACTTACCATTTTCTTGTTTTCAGAATTGACAAGTTCATCGGAATCCACGGACAGTGCACTGTGATCTTGCAAGCTCCACTCTACACAACAAAGGAATTTAGAATTATGTCGGCATTACAGTTGAAGTAAGGAATATTATATCTTAGGCGCAGGCATCGGTTGTATCGGGAGGTCGTAAGTTCGGGTTCTGACGAGGCCAGACTTTTTTTTTTTTTCAAGAACGGCTTAGGCTCTCAGGTCGACCCAGCCTTGAGCGGGTACCAGGTACAGTCATGGGAAGTCAAGGCGGACAGCGTGAAGCTGACTATTGGTAAATAAATATATAGGTCTAGCCATATATGCCACAATACGCTCAGGTTTGAGGTTTGAACAGCAGATCAACATCATGCCACACGGGCAGTAACCCATAAGTGCTCCGTTCTTTCTTCCAACTCAAGTCTAAGCCCGAAGAAGCTCAGCACAGTGAACAGGCTCTGTAGCGCTGGAGAGGATCCTGAAATACTTTGGGTAGATTTTTAACTCCAAATTTTGCCCCATTAGCACCGTTAGGCTACTCTTTTCGATTTCCAACTGCGAAGGGATTGTTTACGTGCGCAGCGATGCACACGGGCGTCTGATCTCACTACCCAGAGACCAGGGGGAATTTCTAGAAGTCCAAGTCCACGTGAAAAGAATCCCAGCCTTTACCGCGGATTGAAGCCGGAACCTCTAGCACTCGAGGCGGACACCATGCCTTGAGACCACCACCCCCCCCCTACCCCCACAATACGCCCAAAGACCCATCTGGGGTTTGTTCTTTTTCTTCCTCTTAGTTGTTAATGATTTAGTCAAGTAATACCAATTCAATTATTTATATTATTATTGTCCAGAAAGGCCACCGCCCGAAACGTTGTTTTGTGCACGTTTTTCTGCTTTCCCGTTTCGTTGAGCTTTTTGGTCACATTTCATCTCTTTTTCTTCCTCTTATTGTTATTATTATAGTTATTATTATTTATATTATTATTAATCAGTATTCCAAGTCCTTGATGTTCATTGCTGCAGATGTCACCTGCTTCCATTCATCTCTGTTATTAGTTTTCTCTTTCAACTTGGTGACTTTAAGTGTTTGTAACTGTGTCTTATATTATCTCTCCATGTTCTTCTTGGTCTGCCTCATGGTCTAGTTATCTTTTGGGGGCAGGCGGTTTTTGTCTCTCTCTCTCTCTCTCGCTCTCTCTCTCTCTCTCTCTCTCTCGCTCTCTCTCTCTCTCTCTCTCTCTCTCTCTCTCTCTCTCTCTCTCTCTCTTTGCCATTCTCCCTATATGCTGCAAACATCATAGTCTGTTAGCCCTCATGATGTTCGTAATTAGAGGTGATTTGAACAGATTAAAGATGTTGTCCGCAGTGGTGTATCGGTTAGAACCATGCTTGCAGATCAGGAGGTCGCGGGTTCTAATCCCGAGGTAACCGGCCTTTTTTTTTTTTTTGCAAACATGACCTTGGCTCCCAGGTCGACCCAGTTTTAAATGGGTACCAGGTCAAGTCCTAGGAGGTAACGGCGACGCATGTCCTGTTGACCACATCACCCACTGAGTGCCGGTTGGGATATAAAATATGAGTCTACTACGATATGCCCAGTATACCTGACGGCATGCACGCGTGTTGTTACTTTAGTTTAAATGTTGTTGCTTCTCACTCTCCATTTTCCTTGTTGCGTCCTTAAAATAGTAAAAGCAGGATTTTAAATTAATGATGCATTTTTTTTTTTTATTATTTACCATAAAATTAGGTTCTTTCAACTTATTTGTATGGCTTTTTTTTTTTTTTTTAAATCTTTAAACATAGTGTGCATTTTTCCATGGCATTTCAATAATTTTCATATTTCAGCTCCCATTTTCATTTCAAAATGAAATATTTCATTAATGTCATACATGACATTAGAAATTCCATGCTTCTCCAACAATGTGTTTTAACTAAATCTGTTAGAAGACCCACATGGGCAAAACTAGAATATCTCAATATCTTGTGGCATTTCACTGAGATGGTCTTTTCAATTTGTGTTTTATCCTTGTAGTTTTCTGTCTGCCAGGACGGCCTTTATTTAGTATTTCTGTCAAGATTTAATTTAAATATCTTCACATACTTTTTTTTCAATCAACATGCTTTAGTGTAATTTGTTTATTTCTTGCCACGGTAGTGACTTCTTTCTGCTAGTCGTGGTTGTAATATTTCTGTCAAGATTTAAATATTTGTACACGCTTCAGCTCAATTTGTTTTCAAATCCAAGTTTCTTCTTTTTCTTTGTTCACCGGCTGTGAGCTCTGTCGGAAAGTCCTGGTTTTTCGTCCACCTCGACTTTGGCTTTCTGTCAGGGCCTGAGTTTTGCCTGTACATCAGTTTTACTGGCTTATTTGTGTGCAGCTCATATGGCTTTGGCTTTCTGTCAGGGCCTGAGTTTTGCGTGTACATCAGTTTCACTGGCTTATTTGTGTGCAGCTGGTTGTTTCTTGCCGCTCGGGCAGATGCACTTTGACTTCGAAGGAAACCCCCGATTAGTTGACTTCTACGACATAACTGTTGGCGAGGCAGTGGGTCTATTCTTTTTTTTTTTCCCCCACACAATGGGATCCCAGAACCCACACTGAGATTCAGCTCAATTGGTTTTCAGATCCAAGTTAGCAACACTGAAAAGTTTTCAGATCCAAGTTAGCAACACTGAAAAGTCCCACAGAACTTGTGAACAATCCTGACACTGATCTCTTCTACTTCTTCTCCTTCACGCTCACCGGCTGTAAACTTCTGGTTGTTCGCACATCTGGGCGTAAGTAATGTCCCAGAACTTGAGTTTTGCGGGCGCATCTGTTTTTATAGATCTGGCTTATGTTATGCAGACTGTTAGTTCCTTGCCTCTCAGGCAGCTGGACTCCAACCCCTAATAAGTCGACTCTTACGATATGCTTGTTTAGCAAGTAGGGGGTCTGTTCATATTTTTTCCTTGATGTGACCTCTGAACTTACATGGGGACCTGACACTCATAACATTTATGATATAGTTTTCGTTATGACAGTAGTCAGTATTACAATTCAAAATGTTACAATCAGTAATTTTTTTTTTTTTTTTTTTTTTTTTTTTTTTTTTTTTTTTTTTTAAAAAGATTTCTAGAAAATTTAGGATAAGGAACTTGATGGTGTTATACCTCTCTGTGATGACGAGATTGTATATTAACACCCTTTCATCTTTCCAGAAAATAGAGTTCTATTTTTCTATTGCGAGGTGTGGGATTCACAGTCCATGGACTTCCGGCCTAAAATAATGGTTAGGCATGGCAGAATTTTACACTTCGGGCTTCTTTTTTTTTTCTTCCGACATCGCTTTGCTAATGCAGTTTCTACATGAGGACGGTAGTCTACCGTTTCGATGCCTGAGTTACTGAGTTTACTGCTCGGCGCAGCCCTGTGAGCTGTGTTTGTCCTGTGGAATGCCTTTCATTTGTGCAGCGGTTGCGTCATGGTGTTCAATACGGCCGGTAGCCGGTTTACGTTTAGCTGGTAAAATACCTTATGTAATAGTTCTACGTGTTTATGGCCAACTTATCATGCCCGACTACTTTCATCAACGATGGACTACATTTCTGGAGGCGACTGTTGGCTTTGGCGCCTCTAGCAACTGAAATACGCATTTACCGCGTGCGCATATTTCTGGATTGTTGCAGGGCTAACTGTTTGTTCACCAGTTTTATTTTATTTTTTCCCAATGAGACAGTTTAGGACATTTCATTTGATTTGCACTGGCACAGGAACGGAGCAAACATGGGGAAACCTCAGCAACAACTAAGATTTAGTCCATGGCACTACCAGTGAATATCAAGAATGAAGTTTCTCCCCTCCACAGTACAAAGCCTAGGCAGTATTATAAAGACCATGTGTTGCACATGTGGTATGATCCCTCTTGTGTGGTCTGCTTTCTAACGCCAAAGGAAATGTCACATCCGATCCTTAGATAAATAATATTGATAGGTGCTGTTGTAATGGGTTACTAGGACCGTCCTGGAAGCAAAAAAATAGAAATACTGCACCCTACTAGAATGTCGTAAGAGGCGACCAAGGGTAGGTTTGACTACCTTAACTTATCCCGTTACACACACACACACACACACACACACACACACACACACACACACACACGCGTAGAACACATCCATAAATTGCCACACAAATCAGTCAATAGTAAAGGATACTTTGACGTAGCATGAGTTGATTGAGGGGCTATGTTCCACTGGGGGATAGACTGCCTGTATACCAAAATCTTCATTAAGACAACAATAAGAACAGTAAGATAGGTTGGGCATAGGTTAAACTGTGCACAACTGTGTGTAAGTCTTCTTCTTCTTCTTCTTCTTCTTCTTCTTCTTCTTCTTCTTCTTCTTCTTCTTCTTCTTCTTCTTCTTCTTCTTCTTCTTCTTCTTCTTCTTCTTCTTCTTCTTCTTCTTCTTCTTCTTCTTCTTCTTCTTCTTCTTCTTCTTCTTCTTCTTCTTCTTCTTCTTCTTCTTCTTCTTCTTCTTCTTCTTCTTCTTCTTCTTCTTCTTCTTCTTCTTCTTCTTCTTCGTCTTTCTTCTTCTTCTTCTTCTTCTTCTTCTTCTTCTTCTTCTCTTCTTCTTCTTCTTCTTCTTCTTCTTCTTCTTCTTCTTCTTCTTCTTCTTCTTCTTCTTCTTCTTCTCTTCTTCTTCTCTTCTTCTTCTTCTTCTTCTTCTTCTTCTTCTTCTTTCTTCTTCTCTTCTTCTTCTTCTTCTTCTTCTTCTTCTTCTTCTTCTTCTTCTTCTTCTTCTGCTTCTTCTTCTTCTTCTTCTTTTTCTTCTGCTTCTTCACATTTACCGGCTGTAAACTGGCTGAAAGTTATGGTTGTACGAACACTTATTGACTTTGGTCATGTTCCAGAACTTGACTTGTGCGTGCTCATCCCTTTTACAGATCCGGCTTTTTTTAATGCAGATTGTTAGTTGCTCGCCTCTCAGGCAGATGCACTCCGACTTCGAAGAAAACGTGCTTAATCAGTCACCTCCTGTGACATGCGGCGTGTTGATGGATATTATAGCACACCGGGCAGGCTCATAGATGCTCAGTCTCCCGCAGCATATGTCTTAAGGTGCAGATGTTAACTGCTCCCGTAGCACACTGATTATAAACCCGTCGTTCTCTTCCTCACAGTCCCTACTTGCCTAACCCACACCTAATTCTTCTGTCTGTATACATCATCAGATACTTGTATCAAACTGTGGATTTTGTGCCTGCTCACAGCGCAGAGGAGTGTGTGGAGGCTATTCTCACCATGGCATTAGTGAGTACAAGTTGTCCATTGTTCAGTATTGTCCATTGAATGAATGTTTAAATAGGAATCGACATCACAGCACTCGGGGCACTCCCATAAGCGCGCCGTCCCTATCTTCAGCAGCATGCGAAAATTTCCTTTTTATAACCACCCTCTGTTAGTGTAAACTTTGCTAGTAATGCACCTGCCGAGAGACCAAAATGTGCCAGACACTAAATTATTCAATATGTGGTTTACTTCTGCATTATTTAAAAAAAAAAATTATAAATCATTCTGAGAAGACTTACTATTTACCTTAACCAAATATTTCAATGTATAGGCTGAAAAAAAAAGGCTGTCTTAATTAAACCGTACAAAAAAAGCATATTCCTTTCTCATTTCCTTATCCTCCATTTAGTTTTTTTAACCAGGGAACTGACCGACGCTTAACTCTAGGGGAAAGAAGGAGACAAATATACAATCAGTGGTCTACTGGTGCCATCGGAGTTGGAACTCTCGCTTGCTGCTGAATATATGAGACTGAGCGCTTATGGGAGTGTCCCGAGTGCTGTGATGTCGATTCTTAATTAAACATTCAACATTCCATTTAGTTTTCTCATTAAGATGGGATGTTTTGAAGACGCAGTAATTAAAATGTACTTTAGGCTAGAGTTTCTTTTATCAGCCCATTCTGGCATGTATTTCTCAGGGTGTTTCTTACAGTTACAATCAATGTGTCGTTTTATTTCCCAATTACAAATTATCCCTGCAGATGGAGATTGGTCCTATGAATAATGAGAAATTTTACTAGATGAAAGTTGCAGTTTGAGAAGCTAGATTAAAAAAAAAAATCTCTTTGAATGCTAAATATTGTATTATTGGTGCCTTGCTAGCTGCTTTCCCAAATTATAGGTCTTTGATCTTCGGCTGCCCAGACTGGAGTAGCAGACATTAGCAGCTCTTTTTCCTCTTAACGTTCACGGCTACAAACTCCAGTGGAATGTTTTGGTTGTTCATCCACTCCTTGATTTTGGTCTTAATCCAGAACTTGAGTTTTGCACACAGATCCATCTTAGAAATCTGTTTTTTTTTTTTTTGTTTTTTTTTTTGAATTAGACTGCTGGTTCCTTACCTCTTAGGCAGATGCACCCCCACTTAGAGGAACACCTCTAATTAGTCGCCTGCTACGACATGCTTGTTGAGAAAGCAGTGGGTCTATTCTTTTCTTCTTCTCCAAAATGGAGCCATGGAACCCACACAAGGAGTATTAGCTACTGACAGATCTACGGTGAAAAGGACGTTGATTGTCTTCTTCTTCTTTTCTCTTCTCCTGGACTGGCTCACCGCGTCAGGGTAAGAAGAGATTTCTGGAACGGGCTCTTCTATTCGCTTCGCATATAGTACTTTTGAGCGTCTCTGTTATTTGTGAGGTCCATCTTGTGCGCGGTGGATTGTATTGGTGAAAAAATTCACGTTGATAATGAATATTATACAGAAGTTAAGTAAAAAGGACAGGCCTGAAGCAAGTCGATACATTTAAGTATTTATGTAACCTGGTAACAACAGAGGGATTAAAGCAGTTAAGAGTAAGAGGTAGAAGGTGACGTTGGGAGATGTGAACCAGCGTCATTGCACACGGTTATAAACCATAAGTGCTCTGCCACCAGTATGGACAGCTGATAGGAAACTGTCCGCATATGTCGCCTTCCGCACGCAACTCCGTAACTACAGCGACACACCTCCATTTACCTCAGAGTGTTAACTCTGGTACCCATTACCTAGAGGTTGGGTGAACCCCCGGGAACCGCCTAGTTTCGAACACCGGCCGTGGGCTGCAGCGAGTCGCAGCTGGATTTCAAAGCGAGTCTCCTGTCGACTTGCGATAACGTGGCCCCCAAAGTTAGGAGCGGAAAAGCTCAAACAAAAGCAACATTTCAATGGATAAAGACTATTCTTTGCAGTCTATCTGTAAAGGTTAGAAAGTTAGTTAGTTATTGACAGATTATCCTCATTGCATATTGAACCATTCGGTCCATTCGTGCTCAGATCCCATCCTTAGTAAATCCCGCAGCATGTCGCGGCGCACGACATCAGTTTTATGTTGGTTTCTTACTCTTCTATGGCTTCCTGCATAGTGCTCTTGTCTGGCCACAACCTTTTTAACATGTTGTTACTGCAGTCTGGTCATAGTTGCAGATTAGCAAACGTCCTACTTCTTGTAGAGCATTCAGAATATCAGCATGGTCCATGACTTGTCCGACCTCCACAGTAGCTTTACCTGCAAGCCGATCAGCTTGCTCGTTTCCTCACACGCCTGCGTGCCCTGGCACAACTATGAATCTGATATGTGTTAGTTCCGACTGCTTTAGATACTCCAACCACTGTCTTCTGATCCAGCGCTTCTCTAACCTCCTGAGCATATTCATTGAGTTACTGAGAAAGCATGCACGGCAAAACGTCTGTGTCTCCAGCCATGTTATTGCTGTAACGGTTAGAAAGAAAGTTATTGAAAGCTGTATAGAGCCAGGTTTAATTAAGGAAGTGAATTGTAGTCAGGTCAATTGAACTCTTTCAATGCCAAACAACGCATATCTACCTTGGTCATTCCAAAGTAGAACAAAAAAGTTCTTCTTACTATTTTCTGCCATAGACAGATTTTATGTTCCCCCATTTGTATCTAAATCATTAGTTTGATCACCCCTGTTGCATAATACTTCTTATCAACTCATCATCATCATTATCATCCCATAACACGTGCCGTCGGCACGTAATTCCGTAGCTACAGCGACGTTCCTCCATTTACCCCTATTTGTCCTAGAGACTGGGTGAACCCTAGGAACCGCCCAGTTTCAAACACCGACCGTGGTCTACAGCGAGTCACAGCCGGATTTGAAAGCGAGTCTCAGTCGTAACTACCAGTGTATCGTGGATTTTCTAAACAAGATTTTCAGGTGTGTGAGGTAACGAGCAGAAGTCGATGTGTTCAAGGCGCTAAGGGATCAAACGGACACTGCAAAAGAACAGATAGGGAATCCATACACTGGAATATTAATTCAACAAGGGGATGTATAAAGTTTCTGGAAGATAGTCAACATTGAAGGGAAAACAGGGGCGGACTTTTAACCAGCTTGCAGCTGCTACTGTTAGCATGAAGACTTTTCGTTGGTTACTGAAGAAGGGGACAGAGCGCATATGGGAGTGTCCAGAGTGTAGTGATGTCAGTTCTTGATTCATCGTTCAATCATTCATAACGACAAGTAAGAAAAGCTTCTTTCTTCATGGTTGCACAGGTGCAGACTCCTCCAAACTGCAATATACTACACGACAGAATCAATGATCTCGTGGCCAGTTTGCTTATACCACCCCCTCGTGTTTCTGCGGCATTCAAGGTAAACTAGATTTTTCTGTCATTTTCTTGAAATATATTATCTTCATATACAGCAGCTCAAGCCACTGGGACATGACTGATGTGTTTGCTGAGAAAAAGGTTACTATGGATGAAACAAGTTTAAAGAAATAATAATGAGACAAGTCAAATATTTCGGCAACATTAAAAGACAACGGACACCGCTGTCTGTAAAATATGTATATATATTTAGTTGCATACCCTTTACAGGACGTTGCAGAACCAACCCCAGCATGTTTTTGGGCTGCTGTGGTGTTTCTAGGCAATTTACTTTCAGTAGTTTGCCATTGCTAACTGGACGGTCTGCTCCTTGATACCACTGTCGAAACCTACGCAAGGCGCAAAACCAGCAGCTGGGATCGAACCCGGCACTCCGGCATAACGAAGATCGCAACGCCTAAGCCCCAGACATCGACTTATATATATATATATATATATATATATATATGTATATATATATATATATATATATATATATATATATATATATATATATATATATATATATATATATATATATATATATAACAGAGAAAAATACTGAAATTAAACGACATTGGGTTTTCAGGCTATCGTAAGGCACATTTTATCCTCTCTAAAGTAAGAATGTAATGAATTTTCAGATCCCAACCAATATGTGTCGGCGTCTGTGGCTTAGGAGTTGCGAAAGCGCATCGTTATGCCGGGGTGCCGGGTTCGATCCCAGCTGTGGTCATTGCGTTAGTTTCCACGGTGGTATCGAGAAGCCGACCGCCCAGAAGCAGTGGCAAACTACTGGATGTAAATTTGCCAAGAAAAACAACAGCCAACAAATTCTGGGGTTGGTTCTCCAATGTCTTGTAAAGGGTTCACAACTAACTGTTAACCCAAGATGTGGCATGGCTGAATACTGCTTGTGTAATGTTATTTTATTACCATCACAGGCTGTTATGTTATGTTATCACAATTAACGTCACTGCAAATTGGGCATTCCCATGTGTGCTTAGTCCTCTGATGCAGCAGTTACTTCAAGGTACTCCCATGTCACGCAATCGTATTAGTGTCATTACAATCCAAGGCACTGCACGCTGGGTATTCCTATTTAATAATCAAAAGATAGGGAATAATGATGAATAATGCTTCAGAACTAGACATACTGGCAGTTAATAGAGAAACAAAAACGGCAAACATAACTTATGACTTCAGACCTGACATCAAAGCACGAAGGACATTCCCATAAGTGCACTGCTCTCATCTTCAGTAGCAAGCCCACAGTTCCAGTTTCGATAGTACTGGTAACAGTTTGATTGTATGCCCTTGTCACACAGCATACATAAATGGGAGTCGACCACGAGAAGATGGTGGGGAGATAATATACAGGCAGAAATACTTGGATTCACTGACTGGGAAGAAAAGGCCAGTCATAGAGATGGACAGAGGTGGGTGATATCTGCTTTAGTGAGCCTCAAGGGCTCAGAATGCTGGAAAAGCAGCAGAAGAAGAACTAAACTTCTTAAGATTTAGCCAGCAGGCCGCCAATTGAATAGCCCTGACATAAGAAGTTGCTTGATACATAAAGAGTTAAGAGCCATCATGGTTTGTTTGGAGGGAACCATAATGGAGAATATATTTCCTGAAGGAAGAGGCAGAAGCCAACCAGCAAGACAGTGGATACAAAATATCAAGGATACCCTGGGTATAAAGGTCAAGGGGATAGGAAATGGAAAGTTGGCTGCCGTCATGCCATGATATCTGGGATGTTCTGCAAAAGATCTGCTACATAATACAGGTTTCATTTAACCATGGTTAGTTGCCTATCCTTTACAGGACGTTACAGAAAAAATCCCAACAGCCCCTAACTGTTGTGTTGTTTTTCTAGGCAAATTTATGTCCTGTAGTTTGCCATTGCTTTCTGGACGGTCCTCTTCTCGATACCACTGTCGAAACCAACGCAAGGCGCATGACCCGCAGCTGGGATCGAACCCCGCACCCCGGCATTTTGTAGCATTCGCATCGACTTAGCCACAGAGTCATTTAACCATACCATGCATATATTCGAGCTGAGTGCTACTGTCCTCTACAGAGAGTGCTACTGGGTTGAGTGCACAGCGTGACACTGTAAGCTGCAGATTTTCCTTTGAATGCCCTTTGACTGTTCCGCCAACATGGTTTGTGTTGTGAACTACAGATTCAGAAAATGTCAAAGTTTTCACAAGTGGCAGTGATGGGCATTCCGTGGGGTTGTCGTTAGCACAGGAATGCAGCAGCTATGGGGTGTCATGTAAACTATGAAGTGGAAACTGCAATTACCTTACCATGCATATGTTTCACATCATCTTCATCATTATCATGTAGCAGGTCCTTTGCAGAACATCACAGTCTGCCTGAAAGAAACTCAGTCTCTCACCAGCTCTCCTGCCTCATGCACTTTCATACTCAAGGAGTCACTTATATCTTGTGCCCATCTTCACGTTGGTCGGCCCCTGCCCCCCCTTCCTGGTTCTATGCCTTCTACTATTAATTTTTCCAATCCGTCGTGGCGCTTGATATGACCAAAATATTTCAACTTCCGAGACAAATTGCTGTTTATTAGCCAATATTCCTTGAGACCAGAATATTTCAGCTTCCGAGACAGGATGCTGTTTATTAGCCAATCTTCCGTGAGACCAGAATATTTCAGCTTTCGAGACAGGATGCTGTTTATTCTCACACACAGTATATAAATTGTCTTACTGCAGGGAGACAGTAATAATAAAAAGTTTATCCCCGTATGGGTTCCAGGGCCCCATTGTTGGAGGAAAACAAGAATAGATCTACTGCCTCCCCAACAACCATGTCATTAAAAAAGAGCCTTTTCCACGCCTTTCAGATGTATTGGGTATATAGGGCTAGACCTATATTTTATAGACCAATCAGCACTTGGTGGCTGATATGGTCAGCATCACACAGGCCGCCTTTACTTCCCTGGATTGTACCTGGTACCCACTTAAGGCTTCGTTGACCTGGGAGCCAAAGTCATTTTTGAAAAAAAATCCTACCCCCACCAGGAACCGAACCCACAACCTTCCAATCCGCAGACGAGTGTCTAGCCGCTAGACCATGGCGGCTCCCCCCCTGTCGTTAAGAGCCAACTAATTGGGAGCTAGCTTCGTTTAAGTCGGAGTGCATCTGCCTGAGAGGCAAGGAACCAACAATCTGCATACAAGTAAGGCAGTAAAGTAAGTAAAATGGATGTACATGCAACACTCAGGTTCTGGAACAAGACTAGTGTCCAGAGATGGACAAACCACCAGAACTTTCTGCCAGAGTTAACAGCCAGTGAACATGAAGAAGATAACAAGTTTCCTCAGTCAAACAAAAGTTAACATCAGATACGGTGTTTGGTTAACCTTTTATGTACTAAACAATGCATGGTGTGTAAAATCTTTTATGTTTGATCTCAGCAAAATAGAGAAATCTGGTTACAAATGTTAACAATCAACAAAGTGTGTTATGCACAAGGTTTATCAATGTTGCATCCGTGAAAGCTTCTTTAAAACAGTGTGGCTTATTACTAGGTATCTGTCTTGACGACACCCTTAATTCGAAGCACCTTGTGCAAAGTATCAGGCATAATTCATAAAGTCAGCGTTCATATCAGGCATAACTCACAAAGTCAGCCTTCATATCAGGCATAACTCATAAAGTCAGCCTTCATATCAGGCATATTTCATGAACTCAACCTTCATATCAGGCATATTTCATGAAGTCAACCTTCATATATGAAGTCATCCTTGGGTTGAGAAATCACCTTCATCTCAGACATATTCCATGAAGTCATCATTATTTCAAGCATTTCTCTTGAAGTCAGCCTTCATGTTAAACATATTTCATGAAGTAACCCTTCATTTCAGGCATTTTTATTAAGTTAACCTTTATATCGGCCATCCTCAATGATGTCAGCCTTCAAATCAAGCACATTACTTTCAAATCAATATTCATAATAGTCATCTTACATAAAATCAACATTCCTTTCAGGCATTGTCCATGAAATCAGCCATTATTGTAGGCACATTGCATGAAATCAGCTTTCATATACCAACTAACATTAGGTCAACCTTAAAATCATGCATCTTTCTTACAGGACAGTCAACATTTATATGTTAATAATCATCTTTCATAGAATCACAGTTCTCATATCAAGATACAAATTTACTTAACACAGAATATGACTACGAAGCTGAACGAAGAAAACATAAATGAAAAATATGCATAAATGTAACCGAACCGAGTCTTTATCAACAACTAAAATGTTATTCATAAGGACCTCTGGTTCAGTTTAGCTGATAGGCAGACCAACTGTTAAAAGTCTTGGTGTGTTATTTAGTTTGTGTCACAGTTTGCTGTTTTATTTTCCCCCACATGTGGTCTTAAGTAAAGTAGTTCTGTCACCCTGCTACCAAGCTGAGTGCATAATGCAACACACTGTGGATTGCTTGTGGGATGATTTCCAACTGTGCCTAAAGTGGTTTATGTTGAGAACTGCATGTTCAGAAAATGGCGGGTAGCCTGTTGTCACAGAAACAGCAGTGCCTTGTGCAATATTGCTGGTTTGTTATAACTGCAGTTTTAATGGTGGACTGATTGTGTTGGCATTTCTGGTGGCTGCTTTATGCAATAAGTGCATGTGTTTATGGCAGACTATAGCCTGTTTCCATTTTTCCACAAGGAACAGTGATAAGCAATTATGTGATTTCTTCAGTACCAGAGGCAAATGGATTGACCACCTCACCACGGAGACCATGTAACTCAAAATATAAGGCCAGCTCTACAACCCTAAGGGAAGCCATGACAGCATCGTGGCTGAATGCTTGCCTGCTGGTACAGATCTGGGTTCGACTCGGCACTAGACAGATTAATTTTTTTTTAATAACTTATCTTAGCTTGGTCAGCCTAAAACAGGGCTATTCAACTAAGTTGGCTCAGGGTCCAAAATGTTCAAATACAGGGATCGTCAAGGGCGAGAGGCCTCTGCACCAGCATAGAAAGATGGAAAATACAATATGGCTAGAAGTGACCCGTGGGCCACTTGAGAGGCCTTGGCGGGACAGATTTGGCCCCGGGGCCGTCAGTTAAATAGCCCTGACCTAAAATTAGGTGCCAGGAAATTTTATGGGAAGTAAAGGTTGACATTTTATTAATAAAATATTCTACTTCTACATCTATTTTTGTTTAAATGTCTGCTTCATGAATAAAATAGTCTACTAGAGTGTGAACAAATTATTAGAGTGTGAACAAATTACTACAGTGTGAACAATTGCTCTACTTTACTGTAGAAAACAATTGTATGTTGAAACATTCTTCTGAAATGTGAACTAAATCTTTCACTGTACTCTGAATAGTGACCTTGTTTAAGTGAATAAAACATGTTCTACTGCATTAGAAAGTTAAAAAAGTAAAAAGTAACTGTTCCTTTACTTGCCAGTGGAGCATGTTTTTATAGACCAATTGGCCCTCAATTGATGATGTGATCAACATCATGCCAGCTGACTTTATCTCCCAGGACTTCCCCTGATCCCATTTAAGGCTGGGGTCAACCTGAGAGCCAAGGTCATGTTTGAAAAAATCCGGCTCCAAACAGATTGGAACCCACGACCTTTGGATCAGCAGATGAGCATCTAGCCGCTACAGCAAGGCAGTTTCATCATCATGTGCCTTGCCACGCGATCATGCCTCTCCACAATCTGCGATCTGCAACTGCAAGTATCAGTTCGTGTGCTGACACCCCCTCCAAGCCATGACAAAAGACTGTCAAGATCTTCTCACGAAGTCTTCCCTGTCTCTCTGTCCACGGATCTTTCCAGTGGTCACAACATGTTCCAGTTTCCCTCTCCTCATAACAAGACCAAAGAATGATGACTGTCTCTTTCTGATGTATGTGATAAGTTGACTTCGAGCTCTCTCCTCTTTCAAAACATCTGAGTTGCTCTTTTTAGCCGTCCAAAGAATTCTAAGGATTCTTCTGTAAAACCACAACTCTGAGGCCTCAAGAAATTGTTCGGCCTGTTTACTAATATTTCAGGATTCACAGAGGTATATTAACAGTTTAAACTGGCTCTATATAGCATGTGAGAAATCTTTTCCTAACCTTCAATGACATGGATTTATTGCATAAAACATTCTTCATTTTATAAAATGAAGTTTTAGCCTGCCCTATTCTGTTCTTTATCTTTCTGATACATCTTCCATCGGACGTTATCCATGTTCCTAGAAACTTAAATTTCTTTGACTTTAATTATACATTAAGGCACTTTTCTTGGAAACCACCATTTCTTCTGTCTTTCCATTATTCAAACTAAGGCCCATGTTATTACTTTCTAACCCCACAGTATCTATCAATTCCTGTAGTTCTTTCTGACTTGTCGCTACCAAAACGGTGTCATCAGCATAACCTAAGTTGTTTAAGTAAGGTATACCAATACCAAATCTTATATAAACAATACTAAACCTGATATATATATATATATATATATATACATATATATATATGTACATATATATATATATATATGTACATATATATATATATATATATACATATATATATGTACATATATATATATACATATATATATATACATATATATACATATATATACATACATATATATACATATACATATATATACATATATATATATACATATATATATATATACATATATATATATACATATATATATATATATACATATATATATAAAATGTCAATTACTGAATCATTTTAATCACACACAAACTTTTTATTAAAATGTCTCCATGAATCAGAGTAATTTTCATGAACTCTTTGAGTTCTGTCTGAGTGCATATATTTAATTTGAAGAAAAAAAAAACTGTTCCATAAACAGTATGTATATATATTATATGTGTGTGTGTGTGTCAGCATACATATCTTTGATGTAATTCTACATAACAGTGAACACATTACAAGGTAAAATAAACTACAAAAGGCAACCAATTATGTAGGTACCATTGCATGAAACATATCACAGATATTTTATATTTTTCTAGGAAGTGATTGAGAACAGAAAACTGGTTCCAGATTCACTCGAGGTCTAATTCTTGTCCTTGGGACAAAGGAGAAAAGTAGTAGTCGACTCTTTCGGCTGTGACATCCTCAAGATTATCTGGGCACCAGCGAGGTTTGTGATCTTTGTCCAGGATGGCTGCACACACACAAAAATTGATAAAATCAAGATAATATTATTGTATTGTTTTTGTTTTGTTTATATTTACTGGTGGGGGGGGGGGGGGGGGTCCACAATGCTGCCAGGTAAGAGATATTTAGAAGTAAAGATGTCCTATTCCATGTAAAGATGTCCAATGTCCAATTTCATTGGAAATTCCTGGCTTTTCATCCACTTCTGGGCTTTGATCGTGTTCCAGAACTTAAGTTGTGCATGCATATCAATTTTACAGATCTGGCTGTGTGCAGGCTGTTAAATGCTTGCCTTTCAGGCAGATGCACTCCAACTATAATGGAAACGTTGATCCTAACTACACTGGTCAGGTGTCCAGCTGGAACCTGTTTTGAGGATGATCACACAGAGTTGTAGATACATATCTGTTGCGTGTCAGTTTGGGGGTTTCAACATTGTTTATGTTAATTCTAGTACAGGCTTGGTTGACCAGGGTGTTGACACGGCCTTAGCCAATACTGTGAGTCTGTGTTGACTCAGGACCCAAGGTGTCAGAGCAGCTTGAGTCAGTATTTGGATTCTGTGTTGACTTAGGAACGGAGTTGACCAGTGGATGCATGAGTTGTCAACCAGCCTGGGTAAACAGTCATACCTAGTTCATGTCCAGCAAGACTGGGACATGAAGTTATAAGGAGAAATGGTGTATGAGTGTGGGTGCCTCAATTATCATGGAGTACTCACAGAGAACACACACAGGTATATACTAGAGGGGAGTTGAGTACAGAGCAGTGTAGCGGTCATGTTCACTACTGAAACAAGACAGCGAGTCTACTTATGAGTCTACTTACGAGGATGTATGACCAGGACTTCCTGCAGCTGCTTATAGCTGGTGAACTAAGAAGTTGGAGGAGAAGAAGAAGAACTCACTGACTGAGTCAATGAAGTTATAACTTGGCTTATCTTTACAATACTCTGGACATGTTCATAGGTGCTCAGATCCTCTGTAAACATAGTTCAGCCCTCTGCAACTAACAGTGCCAGTTCTATGCTGGCTGATGTTGTTCATCCATCACGAGTGACGATTAGTCCAATATGAGCCTGGAAAGTTCTTGAGCAGTGCGGACAACAGATGGAAACCACAGTAAGTGTGGGATTAGCAGTATCATTCTTTATATTCTCTGCCTGTGCAACCTCCGCTGCCTGGCAGGCTGATGCACCATACCAGCTGGCTGATAAAACCTCTCATTCAGCTAGTGTCTCTCACATGCTTAGCTGTGCTGATCATTACTCCTAAATCTCTCATACTTGGCAGCAATGTGGCCTCGCTACTAACAACATTCCCCAATTATCCTGTCTCTAAGAGCATTAACGTATTGTCCCTGAGAAGTTGATATTTTGATTTTGCCATACACTATAAATCTCCAAGAAGTTAATTTGCCATTATGCCTTCACCAGTCCCTGTTAACACCTGGGAGACACCTGTCCCAGTAAGTTAAGGAGACAGATGTCCCAGTCAGTTAGGGAGACACCTGTCCCAGTCAGTCGGGTAGACACGGGTGCCAGTCGGTTGGGAAGACACTGGTCCCAGTCTATAGGGGAGAAACCTGTCCCAGTGAGTTAGGGAGAAATATATCCCAGTGAATTAGGGAGACACCTGTTCCAGTGAGTCAGGGAGACACCTGTCCCAGTCAGTCAGGGAGAAACCTGTCCCAGTCAGTCAGGGAGACACCTGTACAGTGAGTCAGGGAGACACCTGTCCTAAACAGTCAGGGAGACACCTGTCCCAGTGAGTTATGGTCACACTAGTCCCAGTCAGTTTGGGAGACACTTGTCCCAGTCAGTCTGAGGACACACCTGTCCCAGTGAGTTAGGGACACACCTGTTCCAGTCAGTTAGAGAGACACATGTCCCTGTGAGTTAGGGAGACACCTGTCCTAGTGTGTTACGGACATATCTGAATGGGTATGCTTATTAAGACTTGTTGCCATGTCAATTGTTGATTGTATTTTGCTCTGTAAAGCTGATATCTGTAACTGAAAACTCCATAATTCATAACTTTGTAATTCCTGATTTTGGCAAAGGTATCGAAAGCCGCCAATTCAAAAAGCAGTGGCAAACTGCTGAATGTGTACAAATTGCCAAGTAAAACAACAAACAGCAAAAAACAGTGTTACCAAAATACAAGTCCTACATACTTGCTCTTATGCCCTCATGGAAATCTTTGTCTGCAACACATCTCTGGGTTAGTCTGTATTCTGTTTTCAAGGTCTCGGCCAAGCTTTTGTTTATACCTTCTTTCAACAGTCGGAATGTGATCTTTAGTGAGGTTGGGCTCTGAAAAATTCAAATGTATGCATGGAAACAAGCAAACAAAGACAACCTACAGTCAGCATTGACATATACATAAAATAGTTGTCAAATGAAAATAACTGTATAATTCTTCGGCCGAACGGTTAAGGAAACTTGGCTCTTACTATATGAGAGATCCTACTGTGATTCCTCAGTAAGGTTATGGAGGTTTTTTTTTTCTGTCTAGGGCAAAAATAAAATCCCAGCCTGTGAAATCTATGGCAAGAGAACTAACCAAGTGGCCCTGTATCCTCAGGCCTACACTGCTAAAGTGATAACTGCAGGCAGTGATAGCAGTTTTTTTGTTGTTTTTTTTGTTGCATGCTAATTCTTCTGTCAATTGTTCAGATGCTGCTTTAACAAATGAAACTAGGTTTATCTTTGCCTCTGGCAGTGGTCTTACATGCCGTGATGCTAGACTGTCCAGCATCTTCTCTCTGTGTCTCCCTCCACCTCCCACCCAACTTCCCCACTGCCACGATGTACTCCAGTTTTCTCCTTCAGATGACATGATTACAGAATGTAGCTGTGTCCTCTGCTGCCCATTTTTTCTCCATAGCACTAAAAAGTAGTAAATACAAGCTGTGAAGTTGGAAAATGAATAGTCAGCATCACGCTGGCCACCTTTACTTCCTATGACTTTACCTGATACCCATGCAAAGCTGAGTTTTCCCATGTCGGTTTTGGGGCCCTATTGTGGGGAAAACAAGAACAGACCCACTAACTCCCCAACAAACATCTCGTAGGAGTCTACTAATTGGGGAGCTTCCTTCGAGGTCAGTGTGCCTCTGCCTGAGGGGTAAGAACCAACAGTCTGCATACAAATAAGCCAGACCTGCAAAATGGATGTGCACAGAACAGTCCAATTCTGGAAAAGACTACAGGTGGAGGAATGATAACAACTTTTTCGCCAGAGTTAACAACCGGTGAATGTGAAGAAGAAGAGGAAGAAGAAGAGACTGGGTTGACCTGAAAGCCAGAATTTACAACTGGTGAATGTGGAGAAGAGACTGGGTTGACCTGAAAGCCAGAATTTACAACCGGTGAATGTGAAGAAGAAGAGGAAGAAGAAGAGTCTGGGTTGACCTGAAAGCCAGAATTTACAACTAGTGAATGTGAAGAAGAAGAGACTGGGTTGACCTGAAAGCCAGAATTTACAACCGGTGAATGTGAAGAAGAAGAGGAAGAAGAAGAGTCTGGGTTGACCTGAAAGCCAGGATTTACAACCGGTGAATGTGAAGAAGAAGAGTCTGGGTTGACCTGAAAGCCAGAATTTACAACCGGTGAATGTGAAGAGGAAGAAGAGTCTGGGTTGACCTGAAAGCCAGAATTTACAACCGGTGAATGTGAAGAAGAAGAGGAAGAAGAAGAGTCTGGGTTGACCTGAAAGCCAGAGTTTACAACCGGTGAATGTGAAGAAAAAGAGGAAGAAGAGACTGTGTTGACCTGAAAGCCAAGGTCATCTTTGAAAAATTCTACTTGATGCGGAGATAGCTAAATCTGCCAGGGATAAATTCTAAAAATAAAAAAGCATACTCTTAAAGTGTCAGCTTCTGTGGCTTAGACATTGCAAATGCGCTTCGTAATGCCCTGGTGCTGGGTTCGATCCCATCAGCAGACGTTTTGTCTTGTGTTGGTTTCGACAGTGGTACCAAGAGCTGACAGTTCAGTAAGCAATGGCAAACTACTGTATGTTAAAATCTGTCTAGAAAAACTAAAACAGCCAAAAAATTGCTCGGGTTAGTTATGCAGTGCTCTGTAAAGGATTTGCAACTAGCTTCTTTTTTTTTTAACTTTTTCTTCATCTTTGTGTTCACCAGTTGTAAACTCTGGTGGAAAGTTCTGGTTGTTCGTCCACTTCTGAACTGCAGTCCTGTTCCAGAACCTGAATGTTGCGTGTGCATCCGTTTCACAGATCTGACACATTTGTTTGCAGACTGTTGGTTCCTTGCCTCCCAGGAGTTCACTCCGACTTTGAAGGAAGCTCCTAATTAGTCGACTCTTACGACATGCTTTTGGGTAGGCAGTGGGTCTATTCTTGTTTTCCCTATAATAGGGCCCCGGAACCCACACAGGGTGTTTTTTTTAACTCATAAAGTAAGTCTTTGTTTCAGGATGCTAAGTACTCGTCCATAGTAGTAATGCAGGTTCCAGCTCCACAGAAAAGGGGTTACCCAACTAACTATTCTGTTCTTGCGTTAGTGAGAACCATTTGAAAATGCCCTTCACGGCCACATTTGAAAAACCAGTGAACAAAAATTTAGTCCCGGCAAAATCTGGAAAACATGCATACACAGTAAATTCAAAAGGCAGATGCTAGAGGTACCAAACCCAACAGTTACCACCAGAACTGCAATTTGTCATCGATGGAAGTGGTCGGTCATGATAAGTAGCTGTATATACGCAAAATTAATGCATAAGGCATCTGACCAGATCAAACGCTAACCAGCTATTTTGAATTTTCTGAATTTCGAGACACAGACCGCTGCAGGTACAGACAAAAGATATGCCCCATGAAATACACAGCTCACAGTGCTGCACCAAACACTCTAGCCTAAAAAAAAAGGGGGGGGGGGCACGGACTCCAGTCCATATCTGGAAACTGCAGTAGTAGTATTAGCAAACCATAGTCAGAAGAAAAAAACCTTTGAAGCTTTAAAGGACTGCCTACCTATCCATTATTTGGACTGACAGTGTTTGAGATCAATCCCCAACAGAAATATGATTATTGTTTCCAACCATTATGGCTTAGATCAATGCGGCCCAATGAAAATCCATTCCAATCCAATTTTATGAAAAAAATAAAAAGTCGACTAAGTTCAACCCGCTGTGAGCAGCTTTGGTTATAATTGTGGTCTGGTTTCTTTGTACCAAATGTATTGGCTAAGATGTATTATCTGTGCCACATTTAATGGTTATTTGTTTTTTTGTTTTAGTTTTTTTTTTTGGGTGCTGTTATAAATTGCTACGTTTCCGTACTAGTGTGTCAAACTGTCCATCTCTGTCTAGGACCTTTATTTAAGTCCTTTGGTGTGAGTGGGTCTCCTTATTGCCTGTCTGACCTCCTAATTTAGGTTGTGATTTTGGTATGTATGAAGGGGTTATACTCTTGTATTCCAGTTTAATATATTTTGTGCAAAATAATGAGTCCTGTTCTCTGTCTTTTGTGTCTAATCATTATTATTATTATTATTTGTTTATACTTTTTGGCTTGTTCACGTCCTGTTTTGGAGTCTAAGGCTGGGCCGCTCTTAACTCTCTGAGGCCCAATGAACGCATGATGCGTCGATTTTATTACTTTCTTAACTACCCCCTGGGCCTGTGATGCGTTTACGGCCTGGGACTCAAAGAGTTAAATTGTTACAATTTTGGAAACCTTAAACATTGATGGTAAAGATCCAAGAATAATAAAAAACATTTACTGGCAACAAAAAGACTACCACCGGCCACACGGCATGGACTTTAAGAAGAACAATCTAGAAATATTGCACCCATATGACTATTCATACCATTTTCCTGATGGCACAGAGCTGTGTGTGGGCCCAGGCTGAGTGATCATGCTCCAAATTCCTGACAATTTCTTCCACGGAGTCCCCGCCGAAACAACGAGCTATCTGCTCCCTGTGCTGTTCCAGTGTACATCTCTCGGGAATTGTTGCTGTACTCTGTGCATTTAAAGACATTCAAAACACTAAAACATAATTATGCATTTAATAGTCATTTAAATCACTAAAATATAATTATGCATTTAGGAGGCATTCAAATAACTAAAACATAATTATGCATTTAGGAGGTGTTCAAATCACTAAAACATAATTATGCATTAAGGAGGCATTCAAATCACTCAGCATAAGATGTAAATAATAAATATATATTTCTAGGACATTAAGACCCTTCACAATAAAATATGTTTAGTAAAATGTATTTATGAGACATTTAAATCACTCAGCATAAAATGTATTGAGTATATGTATGGGAAATTCAAATCACTCAGTAGAAAATAAACTTAGTAAATATTTATTTCCCAGACATTTCAATTTTTCACACAAAAAACATGTTTAGTAAATCTGTATTTATGAAACAATCCAAGCACTCAACATAAAATGCATCTAGTACATATGCCTGGGCAAACATTTTGTATCCACTGTTTTAAAGAGGCTGGTGCTCGAAGACAAATTATCACAAACATTAGAAAGAGACAGGCATAATTTTTCGGTCACATTATGAAAAGAGGGAAAAATGGAACATATTGTCTTCTTCTTCTTCTTCGCGTTCACCAGCTGTACACTCTGGCGGAAGGTTCTGGTTGCTCGTCCACTACTGAACCGCAGTCCTGCTCCAGAACCTGAGTGTTGCGTGTGCATCAGTTTTACAGATCTCATTCTCTTGAATACAAACTGTTGGTTCCTTGCCTCTCCGGCAGATGCACTCTGACTTCAAAGGAAGCTTCCCAATTAGTCGACTCTTACGACATGCTTTTTGAGAGGCAGTGGGTCTATTCTTGTTTTCCCCATATGGACTGAGAAAGCAAGGACTTCCAGGTGAAACTAACGAGAATTTCAATGAGCAAGGACTTCCAGGTGAAACTAATGAGAATTTTAACGAGCAAGGACTTCCAGGTGAAACTAACCAGAATTTTAAAGAGCAAGGATTTCCAGGTGAAACTAACCAGAATTTTAAAGAGCAAGGATTTCCAGGTGAAACTAACCAGAATTTTAAAGAGCAAGGACTTCCAGGTGAAACTAACCAGAATTTTAAGGAGCAAGAACTTCCAGGTGAAACTAACCAGAATGTTAAAGAGCAAGAACTTCCAGGTGAAACTAACCAGAACTTTAATGAGCAAGGACTTCCAGGTGAAATTTTTGAGGATTTTAATGAGCAAGGACTTCCAGGTGAAACTAACCAGAATTTTGAAGAGCAAGGATTTCCAGGTGAAATTAACCAGAATTTTAAAGAGCAAGGATTTCCAGGTGAAACTAACCAGAATTTTAAGGAGCAAGAACTTCCAGGTAAAACTAACCAGAATTTTAAAGAGCAAGAACTTCCAGGTGAAACTAACCAGAACTTTAATGAGCAAGGACTTCCAGGTGAAATTAATGAGAATTTTAATGAGCAAGGACTACCAGGTGAAACTAACCAGAATTTTAATGAGCAAGGACTTCCAGGTGAAACTAACCAGAATTTTAATGAGCAAGGATTACCAGGTGAAATTAATGAGAATTTTAATGAGCAAGGACTACCAGGTGAAATTAATGAGATTTTTAATGAGCAAGGACTTCCAGGTGAAACTAACAAGAATTTTAAAAAGACGGATACTGTATTAAACTCTATATATGATATTTAAAATTAACATTAACAATTTGGAAGAGCCAAATGCTAGACAAGCATGTATGCCCAATTTATGACCCTTTGGAAATAAAGACCGTTTGCATCTTTGATAGGTCCAAAGATTCATCGTAAGAGCTAGATCTACTATATTTTACAGACCAATCGAAACTCAGTGGGTAATGTGGTCAACATCACGCCAGCAGCCTTTACTTCCCAGGACTTCACCTGAAACCCATTTAAGGCTGGACGGACCTGGAAGCTAAAGTCATTTCTGGGAAAAAGTCTGTCCGGACCTGAGCCCACGACCTCTGGATCCCCAGGCGAGCGTCTGGCCGCTACAACATTGTGACTGGTTCAATACAATGTCTAGTGAATAACTTACCATATCCTGAAAGTGATTTAACACGGCATGGATATCATCTTTTGAGACAGAGGGCTGTAAGGTTTCTAAGACGGAGTCTAGATGAGGTATCTACAGATTAAAAAAACAAGTTCAAAGTAATGGTATTCCTTTGTGATTTTCAATAAGGTAGATACAAACAATGGACTGCACAAGTTTTGTTAGTTGGGTGCCATGTATAGTCCTGGGAGGTAAAGTCGGCCAGCGTGATGCTGACCACATCACCCACGTAGTGCCATTTGATCTATAAAATATAGGTCTAGCCCTCTATGCCTAATAGGCTGGAAGGTGTGGAAAAGGGTCCTCTTTTTACTTTATTTACTTGCCCGGCTCGCTAGCTCAGTTGGTTAATTGACTGCGTGGCGACCGGGTGACGAACTCCTTGTGATCCCGTTTTACACCCAGGGGAAGGCAGAAAAGCCACATTTCTCCCAGATTTACAGTATCTATCATGGAATAAAGGCCGGACGGTTGCGATATAGTACCGAGCCAAAGGATTAATAACGCATGGTTTCTGAATTTTTTTAGAGAGAAAAAAAAACCACCTACTTTTATTCCGCTGTATCTCACTAAGTGATAACTTGGTTTATATTTTCTTAGCTTTCACCAACTGTAAATGCTTTTGGAAAGTTCCTGGACTTTGGTCTTGTTCCGGAATTTTAGTTTTGTGTGCACATCTGTTTTACAGATCTGGCTTATTTATATTTAGATTGATGCACTCTGACATTTTCAAAGTCTAACACAAAGGTTGTATGTGAGGACCTCACACACAATTGTTGATACACTCTTTACTCAGTGTATATGGTGTACATGTATGTGGGTGTGATGTGCAACACACACAAAAATTACTTGTAATTCCACATACAATAAAAAAGAGCAAGCTCCAGGTAAAGGCTTCTCCAGGCCTCAACTAAATTGTAACTTCTCAATATTTCACTGGGTGACACAGGCATTAATCTTGAAATCTATCCCTAGATGTAGTTCGGTGACACGCCTCATCGGGTCACTCTTCAGAACTGGTCAAATAATCTGAGGATCCGACTCCAGAACAAATGAAATAACTGAAATCACAGCACACACGGCACAATCTATGACTCTGTTCCCACATGCAGGCAACGAAGCACGGTTCTGTTCCCACACTTGGTAGTTCGCAGACAATTTGTTCAATATCAATTTGACTTCTCCTCGTGTGGGTTCCAGGGCCCTATAATAGGGAAAACAAGAACAGACCTACCCAAGTATGACATAAGAGTCGAATAATTGGGAGCTTTCTTCAAAGTCAGACTGCATCTGCCTGAGAGGCAAGGAACCAGCAGTCTGCATACAAATGAGTCAGATCTGTAAAACTTTTGCACATGCAACACTCAGGTTTTGGAACAGGACTGCAGTCCAATCTGGATGAATTACCAGAACTTTCCGCCAGAGTTTAGAGCTGGTGAACAGGAACAAGAAGAAGAAGAAGTTTGACTTCATTCTCCCAAGACAATGAAAGATGTCTTAAATCTGAAGTGCAGGCAATCTTCATTTCAGGTTCTGTAAAATTCTAATTTGTCTGAACCCGAGATGCTACGAAATGTCCAATCAAGTGTCCTGCATGGTGGACTAATTGGTGAACGACGCGAAGGCCACTATTTCAGTTCCACTGCTAATTTACTTCAGACAAATGAGAAAATATTGGTATCTGCAGGAGGTGTTCATTACAGCTGATTTCACCTTCTTGTCTTGTATCATATTTTATTTAACTTCGCTTTTCAACAGCGACATGAAGATACAGAAAGATCTTAGATAATAAACTGTACGAACTGCTGCGTGTGTCTTCTGGTTCACTGTACAATTGGGAATATTGTGTTAACAACAAACAATGCACACCTTTGAATACTCAATGTAATGAGATGCAAGTCCAGCACTGACAATCTCGTGACCTCTCAGTCTGTGACCAGTGAGACCCAGAAACATGCCAAGGTTGCCCGGGAGACGGGACAGGAAGTAGCCGGAACCAACATCTGGGAATAAACCTGAGGTAAAAAAAATAAAAAACGGTATGTCACATTAGTTCATCATCAAGTGCCTTGCCAGCTGGCGTAGGCGTTCATACGTCACCCTAGATCTTGGTCTTTGGTGTTTCGGATCAATTCTACTGATGATATTCCTCCATGCCATGGTCTTAAGGTTTTCCACCATCATTTCTCTTGGTCTGCCTCTGCTTCTTCTACCAGTGATCTTTCCAGTCGTCACGATATTTTTCAGTGCTCCTTTTCAGATCACATGACCAAAGAACTTTATTTGTCTCCTTCTCATTGTTGTATATAATGTTCTACTTTCATTAGCCATTTCCAGGCATTCAATGTTGGTTATTCTGGCAGTCCAAGGTATTCTTAACATTCCTCTTAAGAACCACATCACATTAGTTACTTGATAATATTTTATAGTTATTCATGTGATGCTCCTGTGTTCAAACTGGTAGCCAGACTACTTTGTCCATTTTTACTGTTGTTGTGGTTTGTGTTGAAAAAGGCTCTGGCAGAAACGTCACATTTTTTCTTGGATGTATATGGTGTTCCCTATTCCCCTCTCATTAGGCTTCTTGGTCAGTTGAGTGGATTAATTTACTAGACTGGTCAAACTAGTGTTATGGTTCCAAGATGACCTACAAGTAAATGATGACAGAGATCTTGGTCTTGGTGTGAAATGCAACTGGATTGTCCAGACACTGCATTTCTGGTGGCCACTATCTTCAGATCCCCTTGATTTGGGCTCATAAAGGTCATTATCTGTGGCACATGATGAGGACATATTGTATGAGGATCTGTAAAACCGAAATCACTGGGCTTCATGTTAACTGAGTTACTATACTTGGTCAGTATGCTACGTTAATTACTAGACTAGGTCAGTATGCAATATAAATTACTACACTAGACGATTATGTTCTCAGTTGCTAGACTAGGTCATTATTCTATCTTAGTTACTAGACTAGTTCATTATTCTATCTGAGTTACTAGACTATGTCATTATTCTGTCTGAGTTACTAGACTATATCATTACTCTATCTGAGTTACTAGACTACGTCATTATTCTGTCTGAGTTACTAGACTATATCATTACTCTATCTGAGTTACTAGACTACGTCATTATTCTGTCTGAGTTACTAGACTATGTCATTTTTCTATCTGAGTTACTTGATTAGGTCAGCATGCTATCTGAGTTACTTGGTTAGCCTAGCAAGTGTGTTTTCAAAATGTCCCACAAGTAAGTAATAAGAAGCCCTGGACAGAAACTATTTGAGTTATTAGATCAGTCAAAGTCTCTAAGATGATGTACAAGTAAGTGGGGAGATTGTGAAATGTGTTCAAACCCCCAAGGCACAATTGCTAAAGAGCTTCACTCTTTCAGAAGCCGTAGGTTTTGCAGGAGATGCCCAAGGGAAGAAATAATCATCCCGAAAAATCTAAAATACATTACTTTGAAAGTGGCCATATGCATTCTGGTAGTGACCATTGGAAAAGCCAGATTTCTTTAATATGCTCTGGTCAAATGTTAGAAGTAAGACAACCATGGAGAGACGTCAAGGGAGAGAATCACTTACACAGCAACCATTGCTTGGGACCTAACTCTCTGCGGACATATCATCATTTAGTGGCTTCTGAATTCACCATGTTCGGACGGATCGCCTTTTAAGTGGCTCCACGCACAGATACTATAATACTGATTTGTATGAAAATGTTTTGACAAAATAATATTAGTGAAAGGAAGTATTATTGTTTTCCAATCATGGTGAGGCGATAGGTTTCATTTTCAATTTCTTTTAAATTAATTCAGTGAAATACAATTTTTATGTGATTCTTCCAAACAAAATGATCAGAGAAAAGGTCTATAACGGTTCATACTGCTGCTGTCGTTGATGAATCTGAGCCAGATAGTGACAATAGTCTGGAGGTATTGATTAATGATGCAAGTGCCAAACCTATTGCCGACAACTTAGTTCAGGATAAAGTTGAACAAAATATATCAATCGGATAATCCCTGTTTCGATCAGCTGCGTCTGGAATTTGATTGGTTAGAAGTTTGACATGTCATACACAAATGGTCATACAATCCACAGCATTTAGATTGTTTCAAATAAAGATTAGCTGATGCATAACTGAACAGAAAAAGGAATGTGAATTCTTAGAAATGGATAGCAGTGGTGTTGACCAATTAAAAAAAGTAAGTTAAGCACGACATTTCATGTGCAAAAAATCTCCATGTATGTCTAACATCCTTGAATGTTGTGTCACTTTAGAATTTAGTTGTTTCAATATTGATACTTAAATAATTTAGATGTAATCTGTATTAATTTCTCTTTAATTTGATACATTATAAGTCACTGAACAGCCAATATTTTTTCTTCAGGAAGGTTTTAGCTTTGTCATGTTGCAGTAAACAAAACAAAAATGCAGCTCAAAACAACGCTGTCCAAACACCAGAAAAAGAGTCCTCCTGAAAGAGTTAACAAACAGAAAAAGTGACACAAAGTGTAAAGAGTTAATAAACAGAAAAAGTGACCCAAAGTGTAAAGAGTTAACAAACAGAAAAAGTGACCCAAAGTGTAAAGAGTTAACAAACAGAAAAAGTGACACAAAGTGTAAACCTGTCTTTACCTATGGCACATTCTGGCATGCAAAACACAGACTTCTCTGTAGCCACACTGAACTGACCCACCACGGTCAAACCAGCAGCCTAGAAAACAAACCAAAGTAATATTTATTTACTGAGACTTCAAATCTGAAGCGGACAGACCATCATGTTCAAAACACCGTTTTCCTGTTCTAAATTTAAATTATAACGGATGCAAACAATACGGTGCACAATTTACTGCCTGGCTAGACGCGCGCCGCGGATCAGAAGGTCATGGGTTCTCTCCCTGGCAGAGCCGGACTTTTCTTCAAAAAATGACCTTGGCTCCCAGGTCGACCCAGCCTTGAGTGGGTACCGGGTGCAGTCCCGGGAAGTAGAGGCGGCGGCGTGATGCTGACCACATCACCCATCTTGTGCCGTTGGTCTATAAAAATATAGGTCTAGCCCTATATGCCCTATACGCCTAAAGGCGTGGAAAGGGTCCTTTACTTTTTTACTTATATGTTGCCATACTGTTGTACACTTTGTACACTGTGTATTCAACATGTATGTTTATGCACTGATACTCCTTAGTATCAACAACCAAGTATTTAGGCCTAGGGTGCCTACTCTAACATTCCGCTGGATATCTCCTTGATGGATGTGCTACAGTGAAGTCCTGCATACTGGCACAGCATCATCTAATACAGTTGTTATCATTACGAGTCAACAATAACGCTTGTGACAGGCCACATAAACTTTAATGTCATTAACATTACACGTCACAAGATGATGATGATTATTCATTAAAACATGTACGATAATAAATCTCTATTATCTACTCTGACGATATAAAAGATTACAATCTTTTCTCAAGGGACTCCTGCCATTATAATCACTAAACAGACATTAAACTGTCTTCCGCAAACAACGGTAAATCAAAACCTCACAAAGAGGAACGTCCGACTTGGACAATGGAAAAATCTCAACTCTAAGTTTCCGCTAACCCTGCGGAAATACGTCTCACTTGGACAAGGGAAAAATCTCAACTCCCCGGGCCTTTGTGTTCAACGCCCAGAATTCAATTAGCTCGTATCCTAGAAGAAACTTTAACTCTCGGCCAAATAAGATTACAACACATACGTATTACTACTGAATTAAATCAACATATATTGAAGCACAAAAATTAATCCTTTTTAGTGAAAGGAACAAATCACATTGATAAACAGACACGGCACCCTTGAGGCCGCAGAAATATTATATATATATATATATATATATATATATATATATATATATATATATATATATATATATATATATATATATATATATATATATATATATATATATATATATATATATATATATATATATATAAAATAAACAAACAGACAATGTTTTGACTGGCTCTCACAGAAAGAAACAGAAAGACAGAAGGACACATTAGACAACATAAAATCTAAAGTTATGGTTAGCGTGCCGGAAAGAGAACCTGTCGCCTGCAAATGGGTGGTGCCTAGCTGGTCATGTTCTTAGTACACTTGTTTCCAAAGCGAGGCGTTCATGCCATTTGGAGGTGACAGGTGAAGTGATCAAACTTTTTGCCTCATGCCCAGAAGGCCGAAGGTTCCTTTGAAGGGCATTGTCATTCAAATTTAAAGGTATACTTTAATTTATTACCAGCTAGGTTTTGACACAATATCTCCATTTCTGGACCGGGGCTCCAAAGGTTTCATTTCTCAGCTACTGAGTTGAGTGTCTGGTGTGACACTGTTATTTCATGTAAAGTGGGGTTGTTGTTTTTTAGTCATGTTGTGCCAGTGGTGTGTTGTTGAATGTACTAAAATGGTGGGTGCAAGATTATTTCAGAGCGGCATGTACTTTTGTGGGTTCAATGTCAGCTTGTGTGATTGACTGATTGTTCCAACAATAATCTGCAATTCTGGTGTGGATCCGTTAGTGTTGGCATATCTGACAGCTCCCATAGGCATTTTTACATTGTGTGCAAGCTTCAAGCTTTTGCTTTAACTGACAATTTTTTTTTTTTTTTTTTTTAAACTTGTTTTCCAACGGGACAGTGAAGGACTTTTTTGTGTGATTTCCACTGACACATGAACAGAACAGTTATGGGGTGAATTGTCTGCAGCGATTTGGGAACCTGGACTAACTAACTACTATCTATAAGAATATCAAATAAAATAACTTCTAAACTGCAACACTTTGAAAATTATGGAAAAAATACCCACACCACCAAAAGTGATTCCGTTCATGACAGATATGAGAGGTTTGGGGTAGGTACCTGAAAATTGAGATAACAAACAACAAAATTGAAAAAAAAAGCATTTAACATCTTTTTGAACATTCACATATAGGCATGAGCTTTTGCCCTTTGGCTCAATGCCATGTAGTGGAATTTGCATGTTTTCACAAGCTGTTCTTTTCCTCTGCAAGGTGTTCCAATTGTCTGGTCTCGGAGGGAGTAGCATTCTTTTAGTCTTGCTGAGTTTTGGGCACTCAAAGAGATGGTGTTCAACACTTTTGTAGGGGTAGTTACATAGCTGGCACTCTGGAGAGTGTTGTGGCTGTATTCTGTTTAGATGTCCACTGAGTGGAGTATGTTGTGTTTTAAGTCTGAAGATGGTGGCCTGGTCCTTTCTTGTTAAATGGTTAATGCTGTCATTAAGATCAGGTGAAATAGTTCAATGTACCCATATGATACTATAGTAGGATTAAGTGAAACAGACCAAAACTGCTGAACTCATATCCAACCACAATATTGAAAAGAATGCAGAGGATAGAACTGAACATCATTATCATCTTGTCGCTCTCATCAGTCTGCCTGAAAGAAACTCGGTCTCTCGCCAGTTCTCCTGCCTCATGTACTTTCGTACTCAAGGAGTCACTTATATCCTGTGCCCATTTTCATATTGGTCGGCCCCTGCCCCTCCTTCCTGGTACCATACCTTCTGCTATTATATTTTTCCAATCCGTCGTGGCCCTTGATATGACCAAAATATTTCAGCTTCCAAGAAAGGATGCTGTACTGAACAGAGGACTAAAGTGTGAGCTCTGTGGGATGTATAATGGCACAAAAGGATGATTATATTATATATATATATATATATATATATATATATATATATATATATATATATATATATATATATATATATATATATATATATATATATATACATATACATATAAATATATATTATATTTATGATATAATGCTCATAAATATAATATATATATATATATATATATATATATATATATATATACATATACATATATATATATATTATATTTATGAGCATTATTTTTTTTAAACAGAACTGTACTCACCAATCAGATAATTGAGTGCAAATTCTTCGAAGAAAAAATGTTGTCCATAGTTGTTTCCCTCTTTGACAGAATATGTTAGTGCTGTAACAATTGAAACATTTTTTAAAAATCTACACTATTCATAATTAAATACATCTTAATTTATTTAACAAGCAATAAGTTGTATAAATATGCACCTGACTGGCAGGCAAATCTGCATATTTATTTTATGTTTAATCTGAGAGTGTTTAAAAAAATTTAACCCTGTAAACTGAAACTTCCTACTGGTGCCATTCCTCCTAAGAGCTACGTTCAAGACCAGTTACCAACTAGAGTGGCTTGCTTATGAGAAGCATAGCTAAGTATATTGATTTTGTTAGCACCCGCACAAACACTTAGCAGGACCGTGAATCATTACAAGAAAATTTATTTTGTTTTGTTTTTTTGTAACAGAAATTCTGACGTAATATTTTCCTGATTACTCTAGGGTTACCCGGCGATCTGATCAGAGGGTCAAGTAATTGTCACGTTATAACCATTATTGAATCTTCTCACCCTGAGAACACTAGAAAATGATATTTTTTGTAATGGGCCATTATCCCACTGGAATTCCAGAAAAAAATATCCTTATTAAAAAACAACATAGGTCACTAATAAATAAGCAAAATTGTATTTGTCGTAATGTCTTAACAATTTATAAACATGAATAAAAGGAGGCAATCATGAAACACAAATAAGGTAAAGCAACAAATGGACTGTACTGTGACCCCATGACCTCTATCACTGAGGTTAATGGAAAAATATGAAGTCATATTGGCTTTAAAAATGATATTTGGCTAAAAGGGAAAACCCCGTAATTGATATTATTGGTTAATATATTCACATTCTGAACTCTTAAATGACTGTGGAGGCAAGAAAACAGCAAGTAGCATCAACTATGCATCTCGTAACCAGGTCAGTATCGACAAATCAGAGAAGTGACATTATGGGAACTGAACAAGACTGGAAGGTTAAAGGTTACATAGATGTAGGCCAGTTTATTCTCTGCCGCATTTAATGTTTCTGATTACTTTTCATCTGTAATGGTATTTGTTGGTGTTCTGGTCAGTAAATAGATTTTTCGTGATTTTTCTAGTGATATGTGATCAAATGTTTATTAACTCTTTCAGTCCCAAGGAACGCATCATATGTTCACAGGTTCCTACCTAGAAGCCCAATGAACGCTAGGTGCGCCAATTTTACATTTCTCCTTACTACTCTTTGGGCCTCTGATGCTGAATCCCCTAGGACTGAAAGAGTTAAGGATTGTTTTCAGAAACTCAAAATACTTCAGTTAAGGGATTTTGGAAATGTTTTTTTCTAGGTCACCAGGGTGACAGATTTAAGGACTCCATTTCTATGCCAGTCTGGCCACAGATAATGCTTTAAGGGGCTTTTGCTTCCTCCTCCTCCTTCTTTTACTTCTTTCTTTACTTATTTTTTCCCTTCTTGTTCTCTTCCTTCTTTTTTGTTCTTTTTCCTTTTTGTCTTCTTTCTTTTTTTCATTGTCCTCAAAACACCTAGACAAGTCCAACAGCTGCTTCGATATCACAGAGGAGAAATAATGGCAGAAAGAAACTATACAAAATTAATTAAATACTTTTACTTTTAGCATTAAAATACATACACTTTAAATCGCCACCTGCACAGAATGCTTTTCCTCCAGCTCCCCTTAATGTTATCACAGATACCCTGGGATCTTGCAGACACTCCTGTAACAAAATGTTAACAAAATGTCAATCAGTCAGAGTGCATCCGCCTGGGAGGCCTGCAACCAACAGTCTGCATTCAATATAGCCAGATCTGTAAAGCAGATGTGCATGCGAAACTCAAGTTCTGAAAAAAAGAGATACAAATCCAGGAGGAAGTAAACAACCAGAACTTTCTGCATGGGTTTACCGCCAGTGAACGCTAAGAAGAAGATAACAAAATAAGCAAATGCAGTCAAGTCCACTTATGTCGAACTCGGATAAGTCGAATTTTGGTTAAGTCGACATGGCCAGCTTAGTCCCAGTAATTTTCTAGAGAGTGTGCTGTCTGGATAAGTAGAAATCCTGATAAGTGGAAGCATTTTCTTACGTCACTGCGACTTCTACTTATACAGACTGTATAGGCAATGAAAGATCGGTTTTCTAATAAAATTAGTAAACAGGGGCAATGAAAGATTAGTTTTCTAATAAAGTTAGTAAACAGTGCCAATGAAAGATTAGTTTTCTAATAAAGTTAGTAAACAGTGCCAATGAAAGATTAGTTTTCTTATAAAGTTAGTAAACAGGGTCAATGAAAGATTAGTTTTCTTATAAAGTTAGTAAACAGTGCCAATGAAAGATTAGTTTACTGATAAAGTTATTAAACAGGGCCAATGAAAGATTGGTTTTCTTATAAAGTTAGGAAACAGTGCCAATGAAAGATTAGTTTTCTTATAAAGTTAGTAAACAGTGCCAATGAAAGATTAGTTTTCTAATAAAGTTAGTAAACAGGGTCAATGAAAGATTAGTTTTCTAATAAAGTTAGTAAACAGTGCCAATGAAAGATTGGTTTTCTAATAAAGTTAGTAAACAGTGCCAATGAAAGATTGGTTTTCTAATAACGTTAGTAGACAATGCCAATGAAAGATTGGTTTACTAATAAAGTTAGTAAACAGGGCCAATGAAAGATTGGTTTTCTAATAAAGTTAGTAAACAAGGCCAATGAAAGATTGGTTTTCTAATAACGTTAGTAGACAAGGCCAATGAAAGATTGGTTTTCTAATAAAGTTAGTAAACAAGGCCAATGAAAGATTGGTTTTCTAATAAAGTTAGTAAACAGTGCCAATGAAAGATTGGTTTTCTAATAAAGTTAGTAAACAGTGCCAATGAAAGATTGGTTTTCTAATAACGTTAGTAGACAATGCCAATGAAAGATTGGTTTTCTAATAAAGTTAGTAAACAGGGCCAATGAAAGATTGGTGTTCTAATAAAGTTAGTAAACAGGGTCAATGAAAGATTGGTTTTCTAATAAAGTTAGTAAACAAGGCCAATGAAAGATTGGTTTTCTAATAACGTTAGTAGACAAGGCCAATGAAAGATTGGTTTTCTAATAAAGTTAGTAAACAAGGCCAATGAAAGATTGGTTTTCTAATAAAGTTAGTAGACAATGCCAATGAAAGATTGGTTTTCTAATAAAGTTAGTAAACAGGGCCAATGAAAGATTGGTGTTCTAATAAAGTTAGTAAACAGGGTCAATGAAAGATTGGTTTTCTAATAAAGTTAGTAAACAGGGCCAATGAAAGATTGGTGTTCTAATAAAGTTAGTAAACAGGGTCAATGAAAGATTGGCTTCCTAATAAAGTTAGCAAACAAGACCAACATGAGGGTAATCTTCTCACTAGTTAAACAAATGTCAAGATAAGATGCTTACTTTCAACTTTGCAGTCAAGTCCCTGACCATAGACAGATTCAAGGCATTGAGGGCCTTGGGTCTGTTTAGGATCACATGCTGCACTTGACCTCGTTGCTGAAACAGCAGGTCTTCCTCTGTGCATGGCGAGCTCTGGGTCATAATATGGTAGTGCCGACCTGATCTGCAGATATAAACAATACATATATCTTGAAAACAATGTTTCCCATTAGATATGTATGGTTGGTTAGTTGAGTATCCTTTACAGGATGCAGAACCAACCCCAAATTTACGTCCAGTAGGTTGCCATTGCTTTCTGGACGGTCGGCTTTCTTTATATTACTGTCGAAACCAACGCAAGGCGCATGGCCCGCAACTGGGATCGAACCTGGCATTCTGACATTATGAAGCGTTCGCATCGACTTAGCCACAGAGTCAACTAGAAATGTATACATAATAATGATACAAACAACAGACTGCAAACTTCATTATTTGGAATATTCTGTGGTATCTCATCCCTTGCATATTACAGAATTTATATTAAAGCCAACGACTGAATGTTGAATTAAGATTTGACATCACAGCACTGTGGATACCCCCATAAGTTCTTTCCCCATCCTTAACAGTAAGCGCAGAGTTCCAGTTTCAACCGGCCCCAGTAAGAGTCTGTCATCCATCTCATCTTTCCCGTGAGTTGGCCAGATCCACTGGAAACTTCCCGCAGCATCAATCTTCTCAGACCATGATGATCTCTTTCTGCCTCCACATGTTCATCCAAAATTTAATCAATAAATAATAAAGTACAAAAATAAATTGTCACGACTGAATAACACAAATACCTTCCTCTATCCTGTGCAGTCACTTTCAGTATTGTGGTTGGAATCTTTTTCTTCGCGTTCACCGGCTATATATTTTGGCGGAAAGTCCCGGTTGTTCATCCACTTGTGGGCTTTCGTCTGATTCCAGAGCCTCAGTTTTGCACACAGATCCATTTACAGATCTGGCTTATTTGTACGCAAACTGTTGGTTCAGTGCCTCTCAGACAGATGTACTCTGACTTAGAAGGAAACATCCCTAATTAGTTGACTGTTACTACTGCTAGTTGAGGGGTGGGGGTCTATTTTGTGTTGGTTTTTTTTCCACCACAACGGAACCCTGGAACCCACATGGGAAAGAGATAGAATCTAGTCCAGCACTTTGGCCTCTCTCATCAACATTCATTTTAGGGTTTCTTTTAGAAGTTCTCATTTTCTCAGTTCATTTGTTTTCCCTTTCAGCGCCTGTCTGGTGATTCTATGCTTGCATCTCGTTAAGATGTGCCCTACATACATACAGTTGGAGTGCAGCCTACAAAAACTGTAATAATAAACAAAATATGTTTTAATTAGACTCATCCAACTGTAAACTGTGCAGGTAGGCTCTTTCAGAATTACACACAATGTGTAAGTTCACACATGCATGATCAACATTTTTGCTGAGTTGAGTCAAGAAATGACATCACAGCACTCTGGGCATTCCCATGTATGCTCCATCCTCATTTTCAGCAGCCAGCGCAGAGTTTCAATACTGATGTCACAATCTCGTTATATGTCTGTCTTGCATTTCCTCTAAGTGTAGTGAGCCGGCTAGACCCTCTGATTATACCCAGATGCCTTATTCTCCAGGCCATAATAATCTTCTTTCCCTACTGATTATGTTGATTGTTCCCAAAGGGCCATGACCACATCATCATTGTCATGTATCTATTCACCACCCAGTGGTGCAGATCCAGCCAATCTGTCTGCCTGTTCATTACCCACTTGACCGGCATTGCCTGGAGAAAAGATCTAAAGTATGCTCACTACCTGTGACCTTTTCAGTGAAGCTTGCCACTCTGCTCAAAGCGTCACCGTCTTCTCTTTTCTCAGCATGCTTTCAGAGTCTGCTACAATTATAAAATGTGTGTGCATCTTGTTCTCTAGCCACAGGAGAGCTGCATTTTCATGCTAGATGTTGTGGTGTCGTATGCTAGGCTGTACTGCACTAAAGATTTTCCATTGGCTCTTGCTACGAACCCCCAGGCACTTCTCTTTCCTCTCAGCACCGAACCATCTGTAAAGATAATCCAGTCACCTTGGCGTGAATTGTTGTGAATCAATGTTAGGCGTCCACCTCCGTAGCACCCGCTGGCCATTTTTGTCAAGGTTTATATCTACAAAACTCCCTGTGTGGGTTACAAGCCCCACTGCCAAGAAAACAAGAATAGACCCACTACCTTTCTAACAAGCATGCCGTAAGAGCCAGCTAATTAGGGGTCTCCTTCGAAGTCGGAGTGCATCTGACTGAGCAGCAGGGAACCAACAGTCTGCATAGAAAAAGGTCAGATCTCTAAAATGTATGTGCATGCAAAACTCAAATTCTGAAACAAGACTTAAGTCCAGAAGTCGATGAACATCCAGAACTAGCTACCAGAGTTGACAGCCAGTGAATGCAAAGCAGAAGAAGATATCTACACAACTAGTTCATTTACATTAAAAAAAGAAAAATAATACAACAACAAAAACAACACCTATCATCAAATTTATTGAGAAACAAAGAATGAAATGGTTTGGCCATCTAATAAGAATGAAACCAACGATGCCAGCAGCAAGAGTGTACAACCTGAAAGTCAAAACATCAAGAGGCAGATGCAGATAAAGACTGAGAAGAAAGTGGATTGAAGGAGTCACTGACACCTTTAGACGGCAAAACATCACTGCATTTCCATATCAAGTTACTTACACTTAGGTCATGCTTGCTGGGGAGTCAGAGGGTCTATTCTTGTTTCCCCCACCTTTCGTCTCCCAGAACCCACACAGTGAAGTTAATTTAATTCATAGGGATACCATAATATTTCTAACAGAAGGATATAGAAGTTCTATTTATACAGTCTCCTTACTTTGTATTTTCCTTAGCTATAAACTAACTCATCCGTTTTGTTTACATTTTCACACCGCATTTGATCATCTCATTTTTATTATTTATATTCACATATTAAAGTAAGGGAAAAACACCTAAGCAGAAAAAAGAGATAGGTCAGTCCTGAGGTATGTCGGTTACGGCCAGGTGGGGTCCCGATTTTCCTCCCATACTGCAGATATTTCTGTTTCAAGGGGCGGGCGCCTCAAGGATGTTGACTCCTCTACAAGCCTGCTGTCGGCTAGGTAAAAAGTAGAAACATAATATTCACGATGCAGACGGGCGTCGGCCTATAAAACCATCGCTTGTTGTTTTAATTATTTATTTATAACAATCTACCAGAAGATGGAAGATGCATAACTGAGATAAGAAACACAATAGGACAGTCAAAAACTGCATTTTATCAAATGAAAAACATCTTGTGCAATATATCCTTGTCATTAAGAGTTTAAAAAAAAGAATTCTTGCTTGCTACATACATCCAGTTTTAACATATGGCTGTGAATCCTGGACAATCGGTAAGCAGACCAAACAATTTCTAGAGGCCCCAGAGATGTGGTTTTACAGAAGAATGCTTAGAATACCTCGGACAGCCAAAAAGAGCAACCAGGAGGTTTTGAAAGAGGCGGGAGCCAAAAGACAACTTATCACAGACATCAGAAAGAGACAGTCATAGTTTTTCGACCATGTTATGAGAAGAGGAAAAATAGAACATGTTGTGACCACTGGAAAGATCCGTGGACGGATGGATAGAGGAAGACAACGAAAGAAGATGCTTGACAGTCTTGTTGCATGGCATTGAGGTGTGTCGGCACACGAACTGATACATGCTGCAGGAGATCGCGGATTATGGAGAGGCATGATCGCCCACGCTAGTTGGTGAGGCACCTGATGATTATGATGATTTATAACCATCAAGTGCCTTGCCAACTGGCATCACAGTTCTCGGCCTCTGGTGTTCTAAATCAATTCAAATGATGATAATCATCCATGCCACTGTCCTAAGCCACCCACCATCTTGTTCTGCCTCGTCTACCAGTGATCTTTTCAGTCGTCAGGATATTTTCTGTGCTCCTTTTCTCATTACATGACCAAAGAACTGTGTTTATCTCCTATTCATTGTTGTATATAATGTTCTACTTTCATTAGCCATTTCCAGGCAATCACTGTACGCTATTCTGGTCGTCTAAAGTATTCACAACATCCTTCTCAAGAATCACTTCTCGGCTGTCTCCAAACTCTTCTAATTTGTTTGCTCACACTCCAAGAATCACTGCCATACAATTGAGCACGCCTGATATAACTTTTCAGTATTCGTTTTTTTTTTTTTTAAATGTTTAATGAGAAGGATTTTTTTTTTTTTTTTTTTCTTAAGATACTTTTTCCTGAAATGCTGCTGTTGTCTGGCCAATTCTGCTGTTAATTTCTGTCACACATCGTCTATCTGATGTTATGAATGTCCCTGAATACTTGAATTCATTGAATTTGTTAAGCACTTTCTCTTCTATTCCTATATCATATTTTGATGTTATCTTCTTCTTTGATATAACCATTGGTTCGTTTTATTTATTTATATGGTAATTTAATCACTGAAGTCGCCCGTGTTTTATCGAGGCTCCCACGGGAAGCAACGAGAAGTAGCACTACACCCTACCAGGCATGTCGTAAAGGCGACTAAAGGTAGGGTTGGGCTTGATATTGGCTACTTCATCGTGTAAAAATAATAGCCCCAAAAACTAGCCACGCTCACAAGAGATACCTGGTAAACTATGAAAAAGTCCACACACACACACACACACACACACACACACACACACACACACATAGATACCCAGCCAACTATGGAAAAGTCCACACACACACACAAACAAGAGATGCCCATCCAACTATAGAAAAGTCCAAAAACACACACACAAACACACTCACACACACACACAAGAGATTCCCAGCCAACTATGGAAAAGTCCACACACACACACACACTTACACAAGAGATACCCAGCCAACTATGGAAAAGTTCACATACACACACACACACACACACACACACACACACACACACAAGAGATACCCAGCCAACTATGGAAAAGTTCACACACACACACACACACACACACACACACATACACAAGAGATACCCAGCCAACTATGGAAAAGTTCTCACACACACACACACACACACACACATACACAAGAGATACCCAGCCAACTATGGAAAAGTCCAC